CATGGTTACGGCAAAGCTAAGTATGCATTCGTACCCCCCCCCCTCCAAATTTCTCACTGAGTTAGAGCTCGAACGCTTGATCGTATCGACTTGGTGTGAAGGCAAAAGTTGTAGGAAATCAAACCTAGATTTGCTTTTTTTAGGTGCCACGGCCAAAAAAATCATCACTAGTACATTTAAAATCACTTCCTAACTTTAAAACTCGTGTGGTGAGCTATTTCACCATACAAAGGTAGTGACTTATACTGAAATTATTGTGTCCCATCTAATTACGCTTCATTTGGAACATATTTGGTCAAAATCGGTTGAAAATTGAGAAATTTTTGCACCAATTAGTATGCTTGAGTTTATGATAGATTAGCATTCATATCCCGGCATGATGTGTCTCTACCTCATAAAATTATGCATGCAAAGCGACGTCTTAAGATTGGCTCCATGAAATGGTGAATGAACTGATACATTGTTTCTGAGATTCCCAACCTCAACAAAAATGCGTTCCATCCCCTATCTGACTTATGGATTACATACACTCGCCCATCACCAAAATAGTTGTCATATTATTTTCCACCTTGCCAAATTGAATGGCCCACAATCTTATCCTAAATTTATTATGACTATCATCTAACACGATTGGTATGCATGACATAATTTTAGTTCGAGTGGTTCGACTGCGTGCAGCATAATGTCATAAGATCAAGTTTTAAATGTACTATATTGATACTGACCTGTACTTATTTAAGTCCTATTTGAAGTGCATGAATACATTAATTGAAGGTAAATTTTATCTCATAACTCCTTAGTACATACTACGCAGCTGCCTTTCTGAGTAGAAAATGTGGTATAGCTTTCACTGCAATGCCCTGAATGATGTGTATCTTTGTCGTAGTTGTTCAAAAGAGCAGCGGCAGCAAGAGATAACGTTTACAACATATCGAACAAAATTTCCGACAAAGCTTTTTCGGGCGAAGTATGCAACTTTTTCTATGAAATAAGAAAAACTAATAAAAACAATTTCAAATTTTTTTAAACTCACTTATCGTTAGGAGGGAAGCTTCATAGGTTGGCAACAACAGATCGGCCTGAAATTTTTACCACTTATAGCCTGACATGAATGAACATTAACCCTGGAAGGTTTTGACTCCATGGCCACAAACGGCTGAGAAATAAATTTCGAAAGTTTCAAATTTTCTCCTCAAGGGATGCCATTCTATCTGAGCTCACTCTAGTTCTATGGGGAGGATGTTGTAATGCTTATAAGCATTGGAATTTTAAAATTGAGCCAGTCTTGCAAATTTTCACCGATCTTCAAAATTCGAAAAGTTTTGGAAACTTTGGGTCATGGACTAGAATATATAATTTCAAATTTTTGAAATTTAACCTCATTCGCCTGTTATCAAGGTCACAAGGTCAAAAATTACCACATTTCCATGATTTGCAAAAATTGATTGTCACTAAATTTGAATGAAAATTTCGAAGTTAAAAAACTTCGAGAGTGTCAAAATATGACCAGTGGTACTTGTAAAAAATTGTGGGTACGGCTGGGGGTGTGGAAAAAAATAAATCAGGTTAAAATTAATATGTTTTACCGCTTCGGGGTGTGAAAAATATCAAAGTTCTACCAGGGCCATACCCTCTGACGGCATTTACATTAGTGGATATAATTATTCAATCCCCACCCACAGGGGGTGTGCCCATCAGCGCTTTCGGCGTTAATAACTTCAAGTACCTAGTGCGACACCAATAATTTATAGGGATGGAATGGGGACCCTGATGGTGACGTCCAATCACAAAAAACGAATGAATATTTAAATAAATGAATGCATATTTGAATGAATGAATGAATGCTAAAATGAATGAATGTGTGATTGAATAAATGAATGAATATTTGAATAAATGTTGTCCATACTACATGTTAATGAATGCATATTTGAATGAATGAATGAATGCTAAAATGAATGAATGTGTGATTGAATAAATGAATGAATATTTGAATAAATGTTGTCCATACTACATGTTAATGAATGAATAATTGAATGAACAATTTCTTGTTGAACACGTATGTATATGCTTAATCCTCTTGCCGAGACCTACGAACTAAGCCCACTGGGGGGGGGGCGTAGTTCGTAGGTTTAAGCCATTAATTTGAGATCAACTCATCGAGCTGAGAAAAATGACATGTCACATCACATGGATCTGATAAGAGGGAAAATTCGCTGCGAACCACACCCACCGAGGGTGTGACTTGTTATATTTTAAATGCCGTCTAGACCCCCTCATCGTGACGGGATACGCTACGAGAATCATATGATGTGCCTTCGTTAACGTCAAAAAGTCGTTGAGAACCACTCCCACTTGGGGGTGTGGTTCTGGATAATTGTAATTGGACGTGATAATAGGGGTTCCCTTTAGAAATTATTTGCGTCGGGTGACATGCTTTATAAAGGTGTTACTCAAAGTTCCCTAAGGCACACCCACTAGGGGGTGTGGTTTTTTGTGATTGGAAGTCACCATCAAAGTTTCCAAAACTTTTCGAATTTTGAAGATCGGTGAAAATTTGCAAGACTGGCTCAATTTTAAAATTCCAATGCTTATAAGCATTACAACATCCTCCCCATAGAACTAGAGTGAGCTCAGATAGAATGGCATCCCTTGAGGAGAAAATTTGAAACTTTCGAAATTTATTTCTCAGCCGTTTGTGGCCATGGAGTCAAAACCTTCCAGGGTTAATGTTCATTCATGTCAGGCTATAAGTGGTAAAAATTTCAGGCCGATCTGTTGTTGCCAACCTCGGAAGCTTCCCTCCTTAATGCAATTCAACGAATTTTGCACACTTATGTACTAGAATTTAAGGCGAACTTCCAGTCATAATTTGTAACCTGTGTAGGTACGGGATGTGCATTTAAGAAAATAGACGGAATTCTGAAGTCATATGATATGAGTCATATCATATGACTGCTTAAATATGATCTATTATGTATATTCAATGTCTCACTTTTCCCAATCTGCAATTTGGACATGAATGCTTTTACAATAGTGACGATAATTTTGGTTGGTGGAGTCGCTTTTTATACTTTTCATTGTGACGAATCTAATAAATAAACACCACAATCAACATGGAATTGGTGTATACAGTTGAATACAACCAATTAGTGCAAAAAATATTTAAATGGCCTGCATCCACTTCATTTCTATAAGAGTTTAGGTTGGAATACACCCCAATATCGAGATAATCTCGTCAGACGAGATTTCGATATTACATGTCCTAATTAGATTTCGTAAGGTAATAGAATACTTAAATATGTACACGTCGGATAAATCATTATTTAATGACGATCTATTTCAACATTTAACCAGCAATATGAATTGGAGCATGAAAAAAGTCATGTTTCAACTGTCAAGATTACAATACGACACGTGGACACTACACGTTAAAATTTTCCATTCCATCATTAATTACATTTCGTGAACGGTTAGGTTGTTATCGATACAAAGGATGTAATTATGTACTTTGTCATAGTGATAACGTAATTCATGCGTACAATTTGATACCGCGAATGTACACTCGTGATGGTCAATTCCAAAAGCGCTTTCCAGGGTTAATTAGGGACACAATTTTTTCCAAATTCACGGAAAATGATATTGTTCATTGAAAGTTACCTGTGTACATTTTTAGCCGTTACTGAACGAATTTGATCCGCTGATACGGGCGGGAGGGAGACCCCTCATCCCTCAATCCAGTGTTCGCCTCGGAGCGGTGGCTGAGAAAATTTCAAACACAAGAAATATGAACATCTACAGGATAGGTTCCTCTTTGTCCCTCAATTATTTTATTATTGGCTGATAATTATTTGATGATTTACTTCCAAATAATCTTCCTTGTTTTAATTCGAGATTGTAATTTAGCAGGCAAATTATTTGTTATTAAATTGACAAGAGTCCCTGGTTTTTACTTGATTTTTGCAGACATAGAGTAAATATTTGCATTGTAAATTATACAGTGTAACCGGATCACGAGGCCATAAAAAATAGATTGAGCTGGATCAAATTCCCCTTAGTTGCAATCCAGCACAGTTTCGCACATATTTACAAGCATTTCTAAAACCACAGCAGAATCAATAACATAAAATGACTTCATCCATTCATTTTATTTTTTGTGACTTGGTATGTAAGCCAATGTGCACGTCATATTATACCAAATACCAATCTCACGCTGCCATTATTGCTAATACGTTTTGCCGATTTAATACCCTGAGCATAAATTCTGGTCACACGCTTAAATTCAATAATATTTATTATTTGGAACCAGAGTTGTAAAATTCCTAGGAGGCGATAATAGATTCCAGGAATTTTAGGAATATTTCTAGGGGAGATGATATTCCAATGCAAGTTATTTTAACATTGGGCATGTGGGGAATAAAAATTAATTACGGGAAGTTTGGGAAAATTGGGAATCCCAAAACTCCCAAAATTCCCACTCTATTTGTAACCATTTTAAGATTTGCACGAATTATCTGTAAAATGAGTTCTTGTATAATTTATCTTGATGGAAGTATGTAAAACTGGCAAAGATTGTTATTATGCAAAATTTACAAGTTCCTGCACAGGAATGCTGACAGATCGAGAAAGTTTTCAAATGGGAGACGTACCCTCATTTTTAAGCAAGAGTCCATAAACACACGCTTCATTTATTCCCAATAAATCATGCGTGGTTTAATATCATGTTAAAATTCCATCTCCCCTTTAAAATATACATGTCTTATCGAAGCTGATTAATTATTATCAACCAATCTATGTAGTGACGAACATGCATTAAAATTACCACTTTTCATACAAACGTTTCCAACTAAACCAATTCTTCATTTATACGTTTGGATTAAAAAGTTATACTGCAGATAAACCATGGTAGCATACTCGTCCTCAAGTGGGTGCTGACTCATTTCCACCAGTCTGAAAAGTGTGCAATAAATTTGCACATTTGTAATTGAGCTATGCATCGTTCGCTCACTCACTCATTTTTAACTGCTCGCCCTTGATTAGATTAAATGTTTGATTATATAGGAACGTTGCATTCCTTTAGCCGGGTGAGAATTTCGGTCCGTTAAATATAAAAGTATTTACACGAGTCGAGACCTATATCCAGTCAACCGCAGCCATAAAATAAGCCCGTCCACATTTATTCTTCTGTGAATTTCCGAGAAGAAATAAAATAATGAAGAATTTTAGCGAAATTCCCGTCGTGGATTTAAAGTTCTGTGATTCTATAACTCCACCAACTGATGAAGATATTTTGAGAAGCATTTCCCAAGCGTTGGACGCCGGTCTGGTATCTCATGGCTGTGCTTATTTAGCCAATCATGGTGTTCCGGATGAAATTGTAAGAATTATTTAGAAAACATACATTTAACCTCATCGCCCTTTTTTACATGATATCAAGTAATGGCATGTCAAACCGTTGACTACCAAATACTTGATTTCATGTAATACAAATTCGGTCACTTGACTACCAATTACATGATTTCAAGTAGTACGAAAACGTACCATTGGATACCAAATACTTGATATCATGTATTTTGAAAATATTCCTTTCAGGACATATTACATGATTTCAAGTAATGCACAATATTTTTTAATCGCTATCAGGCGGACTATATTTCAATTGTAAATACATACTTCATGCTTTTGATTTCAAATTTTGATTTCAGACATTAAATGAAATTTTGGCCATAAAATTTTCATTAAAGTTTTGACAAAAAATTACAGGCTCCTGAAAAAATTGGCGTCTATACTACAAAATGTTTACTTCTAAATTACAAAATTTTGATTTGTATGTAAATTTTGACAAATTTCAAGATTTGAGGTTCTATATTAAAAATTTTGGTTTCCATATTATAAAAATTTAGAAAAAAGTTTTAAAAACTTTAAAATCACAAAATTTTGGCCTCTCAATTTGAACTACAAAGTTATAAAAGTCGGACCAATAAACTACTAAATTTTGACTCAAAATTTCAAAATTTTGCTTTCGGCAAAATCTTGACTCAAAATTTCAAAATTTTGAGTTCGACAAAATTTTAATTAAAAATTTCAAAATCTTGACTCAAAATTTCAAAATTTTAAGAAATCAAGATTTTAATTTTGGACTAAAAATTATGGAATTATGGAATTTTGAGTGAAAATTTTGTCGAAATCAAAATTTTGGAATTTTGGGTCAAAATTTTGATTTCGACAAAATTTTCACTCAAAATTCCATAATTCCATAATTTTTAGTCCAAAATTAGAATCTTGACCTCGAAACAAAAACGATGTCAAAAATTATTTTGAGAACAACATAAATTAATGTGGGGCTGAGTGGTGTTTGGGGCGTGGTTTTTTGTGGGGACGGTTTGTGTTGAACACGAAATTTCGCCATGGAGAACTTCTGCCTCCAATTATATTTGGGGACCAATTGTTTGTCTCTCGGCAATATATAAAGGGCGATGAGGTTAATTGTAAATAGCAAGAAAAAATGCGAAGTTATATCAAAAAATTATTATTTTATAGTTTCAAAACGTTTTCGAAAAATCCAGCCACTTTTTCCACCTCCCTGCCAGTGAGAAAAATCTGTATCAGAAATCTGGCAAGAAGTTCGCCGACTATGGCGGATATTACGTCTCATCCCGACAGCAGGTCCGGGAACGATATGATTTCATGTTTCAGACTGAGATCGTAAAAAATAAGACGCCAGAATTAATTCAGCATGCATTCTCGCAGTACAGGAGCCATTTAAACACAGTGGCAGGATTTTTATTTAATCGAATCGAAACCGCGTTGGACTTGGAGAAGGATTCACTCCTCAATGCGCACAGAGGGGCGTTGTTTCAGGACCCAGATGTCGAAACTAGGGCACATATCAGTTCCCTTTTTTACGGGAAATTGAACCCGGATGATGTGGAACAAGAGCCGGAAACTCTTATCATGGATGAACACACGGATTTCACGTCCATCACGCTAATTACTACGTCAGCTCCTGGCATACAGGTGAAAGGAGAGGTAGGTAAACCACTCAAATTACATAAATTGACGGTATTCATTACTTATTCGCAAGTTAGCATGGCAACATAATTTTTAGGATTTTGCTAAGTTTTCGATATAGTTAAGTGAACTAACTTACTTTTGCAAACTGTCTTTGCTTAGGAAAAACTAGCCCTAGAGATGCGCAAGTTAGCTAAATTATTTACCAAGGAAAACTCTTGCGAATTTTATCAACTTTATTTTTGTACGGAGTTGCTAACGTTACGAAGAACTGTTGAATACCCTCAATATTTACTGATTTAAATATATAAAAAAATATTCCTAGTTTGATGGAAATTGGATCAATGTGAGTCCCAAAAGTGGAACAATTTTCTTACACGTTGGAGACATCCTGGAGCGTTGGAGTGGGGGACGGTACCCAGCAACTGTACGGTTTTAAATATGGGGCAGGAAAACAATAATATAATTTAATTTCAAATCCAGGTGCATCGAGTAAAATACTATGAAAATATTTGTGGTAATCGGCAATCGATTCCGTACTTTCTTCACCCAGACGTCCACGCAAAGGTGGAGCCTTTAATTCCTATCGCACCTGGATGGGGATCATATCCTGCGATTACTGCGGGGGATTATTGGATCTTAAAAATGAGGGAGAAGCAAATTAAACTAAATAATTAAGGCTTCATTTAAAACTATTTTATTCTGTGAGATTAATAATAATTGATTTATTGCATCATAGCCAACAGCCTTTGCACATTATTGATTATTTACACGTAATTTGTAAGCATAAAATAGAAATTAAAAGAAGTAAAAAATACTTATGGGTCAGAACATGGATCAAAATATTTCGCGACTTTATGCCAGAATAGAAATAAGTTATTGATTAATTTGTCGGAACATTTTTCGGAGAAAAGAGTAACATACAGTTGTACATCAGTGGAATCGTTTAGATTACAGTTCGGAATTAATGGGTAAATTAAAGATTTTCGTTCACATTTCAAACCGCTACAGGTAAAAATAAGATATTCAACGGATGTATTATCACCACATAAGGGACATGTTGACTCAAGTGGGATGTAGGCCTGACCAATCTTGATACTGAATTTGTTGAGTCCCAATTGGGTCATCAGGCTGCATTTTTGCATTGGGTGATTTATGTTGAAGTATTCTTCTGTTTCAACTTTGGGCTTGATTAATTGGTAGATTGGGATGAAACTAGATTTTTGCATCCTTGACACGTCTTGGTTTTTAAGATGCAGTTCGTAGTTGACGAGAAGCGTTGATCGCATTGTTACAAGCGATGTTAGCACTGAGGGGATTTTTTCGCACTTGGCTAATTTTAAGAGGTTCAAGAATTCCTCTCCCCAGCAGTGTTTCCGTTGCATTGGAGGCGAGTTGATTCGTGTCCAGGTCATTTGTAAATTCATACATTGTCTTACGGGTGAATCTTCATGCTTTTCGAAGACCCTTTCCCAAAAACCAAGTGTGTCAGTAAGATGTTGTACTCTACAGGGTGTTAATAAAGTCCGATCCCATTTTTCCTGTAAAAAAGTGAAGGCTAGTATAAAAAAAAACTACCCGTGATACTTACAAAAAATGTTCGACATATTTACCTTAGTATTTGGTCTTGTTACCATTTACTTTAACCATGCCCTCAACTCTTTGTTTAAGGCTCTGTGCTAATTTTTCCAATGTGCCTCTGGAAATCGAATTCCATACATCTTGAACTTTTTTTTACTAGCTCTTCCCTCGTCCGGGGTTGTGGCTCTTTGTATACATTTTCCTTAAGTATGGACCACTGGTTCTTCAGGGGATTCAAATCTGGGCCGTTAGCGGCCCACACCCCCTTGCTCCAGACCGTTGAAACTTGCGTCTTGATGAGACTCAAACTCGCTTTTGCTGTATGGGCTATAGCACCATCCTGCATGAAAACTATTTTTCTTTCATTCGGAAATATTTCCTTGTTCCCCATGCTATCGAAATAGATAGGTAATATTTTTTCCATATAATGCTTTGCATTGACTGATTTGCCTTTTGGTATGATATGTAGAGGGGTCACGCAACGTGCACAAAATCCACCCGCTACCATAACTTTAAGCCCGAATTTTGGGATCGCTCTTGATGGTACATCCGATTTGTTTTCTGTCCTGTAACGAACATTTTGTTGGTTCAATTTTGGATATAGTTCAATAATAGATTCGTCAGTCCAAAGGATGTGACTGCGCAATTCTTCACCAAGTCTTTTTTCACTCAAATGGGCACTTTTCTGAAGGAGTTCTTCAAATTTCAGACGGTCATCGATATATTTTTCTGACATGAGAGGTTTTTTTGGTTAGTTTGTAAGCTGTGTGACCCCACTTCGTAGTTTTCACAAATTTTTGCACGGTCACACAGTTAATTTGCTTCTTCTTCTCTTTATAGCGTTTTGAGTCATTTAACTCCCTTGCTCAATTACGTAATGAACTACCGGTTTTCTTGCAAAGTCTGTTTTTAATCATTCTTTTTGTGGTAGGTGACACCTTTCTGGGTCGCCCTGGTCGCTTTTTGTCGTGGACAAAATTTTTATTCTTCCATTTCCAAACAGTTCTGCGGCTGCAGCCCAATTTTTGCACAATTTCTGTAGGTTTAAGCCCCTGCTGATGCAATGTTTGTATCTCAACGCTAAGATGCTCATGACTTACACGTTTAGTTGTTCCTCCCATGGTAAAAATTTGAAATAAATAACTTCACTGGTTCAAAAGTTCCAGCTGAATTTGTAACAACCACGCTCCAAAAAATGCATGGGATCGGACTTTATTAACACCCTTTAGTATCCCTTGCGCCGGTATCCAATCTCACGAAGTAGTCCGGGGTCGAAGGAGGGAGTCGGAGGAGTCTCTTCAAGAAACGAATTTGAATTTTGTCGAGATCATCTACAAACTTTAAGGCCCAGATCGAAGCACCATACAAGACTGTAGCTCGCGCAATGGTGTTACACGTGAATTTGAGTTTGAACAATTTGACAAGGGAGGGACGCCAGATTTTCTTGTTATTTGTGGAACTTTTACAACGGCAGTAGTAGCTTTATCTTTGAATTCTTTGTGGGCAAGGTTGAAGATCCCATTCCTATGCATAGTCACTCCCAAGTAGGTGTATGAGTCCACAATTTCTACATGATCCTGATTCCATTTGAATGAGGGTGAAAACTTTGATTTTCTTTTGGCGAATATCACAACCTTTGTTTTTGAGATGTTAACCTGCAGGCCTCGGTCTTCGAAGAATTCTGCAGCAATGCTTATTTTCGCCTGGAGATCTTCAGCAGAGTTGGCCACGATAACGATATCATCGGCAAACATGAGGATGTGGAAATCAGTTTTGCCAATCTTGATTATTCTGTGAGATTAAGTGACAATTTCGTGAAAAACTCAAAATCCCAAGTCGTGTCAAGTCAACTTTAAGTCCAGTGTAAATAGATATCGTTTTCAATCCATGACACCATAAATTATTCTCGAAGCAATTAAAATTAGAACTAGATTATTAAAAATTATTTGCAAATACGTACACAAACATGTGTTACCATCCAAATTAATAAGAGATCAGCATGATATGGTCAGCACTAGTTAATAGTCGAATAAACATTTTAATTAAACAATCCAAATAATAACCATAATTATAATAAACCGTTGTAACGGCAGAAGTAGCTCGCCCTCTAATATTTAATGGGACATAACTTTGGCATAATCTTCAGTCAAACATAGTGTAATTTATATATCGGATGCACAGAAAAAGTTTTATCAATGAATGAACACAAATAATAATAACAACCTCCGTACACAGCTTTGCTTAGCCCGAGCCAAGGGTGCGCAGTATGCAATATGCAAAATAATAAAGATTTTTCCAGACAGACGTGTTATCTACTAAACCACATTACAACCATGAAATCCAACCAAAAATATAATGCGCTTTAAATTTGGTGCTAAATCAACCCGCTCAAAAGTGTCGCGTTATGAAGCACCTGATATTAACACATATGCAATACCCAAAAGTTTGAAGAGTTATCCTGACGTCAGATACAATAGGTCGGACGTGAGGCAATACCAGTATGAATCCTCAAATATTTCATTTTTGCATTAAAATTTCGAGTAATGAAGCACATGGTTGCCACTAGGGCCACCATATTTTTCAGCGCAAAACAAAGCCAAATTTAAATGTTTGAAATTTGGTGCAGGATAACCTCATAGGGTGTATTCAAGTAACCCCCACAGGTCAACCACTGGACCGATTTGGCTCATCTTCGAACTCGATACTTCATTTGGGTCGATATAGATGTGGTAAAAATTTCAAGTCGATCGGTTGAGTTTAAAGTGAGTTATCGTGTTTTCGGACAGACAGACAGACACACAGACAGACATAACGGGTAAATAAGCCCTGGCTCGGGCTAATAAAAACTGAAATAAAATGAATATAAATTTCATTAACTGGGTCGTAACCTGACCTGTTTACCTGATGAAGGGCAGTGGCGACCTGTCTTGGGCTTATAGAGAACCGAAACCCAGTTGGTGTTGTGTCTAGCACTTTACAATTAATACGAGCTCTTCATACCAATGGTGCAGAATATTCGTAAGAGGCATAATTTTGATGTAATTTTGCACCAATGGTGGAAAATAAACAGGGAAAAGTAACCATAATTTTTGCATTAAATCTTCACAAACTTGAAAGTAAAAGTATAGTTATTTTTTCCGGCTTTTCTACGCATTTGGTCCGTTTTGCATCTATTATCTCAATTGTTTGGCACCATTTTGAGTCACGGATTGTTCGATATCATTTGTGCTATTAAGTCGGTCACGAATGCCAATAACTCGCTTTAATTAACATCAATTGATGCAAAAGAATCGTTAACAGACAGACAGACGGACGGACAAGAGGAATTCAATAGCTCCCATGCTCCGCAGGGCGAGCTAATAAGTGCATGTTTTTGGCATAATTTTGCACCAATGGTGCAGAATTGGCAGATAAAATAGATACGCAATTTTGGCATAATTTTGCATTGATGATGCAGAATAGGCGGACAAAAGATATACACAATTGTGGCATAATTTTTCACCAACGGTGGAAAATAAACGAGAAAAATAAATCCAGAATTTTGACATAAAATCCTGACAAATTCGAAGTAAAAATTCTAGTTATTTCTTTAGGTTCTTATGCACGTTTGGTGCGTATTGCCTAGACTCTCTCGATTGTTTGGCACCATTTTGAGTCACGGATTGTTCGATATCAGTGGTGCTACTAATTTGCTAAAACTTGCACATGGGGCAAATTAATTAGCATCAATTGATGCAAAAAACTCGTGAACAGACAGACAGACGGACGGACAGACAGACGGACGGACAGACGGACAGAAGGAATTCAATAGCTCTCTTGCTACGCAGGGCGAGCTAATAATGTTACATATGATCAAGTGTCCAATTTTAAATGACTCGAAGTTACCCGCCTTCAACCTTCCTACGCCAGTGACATCATGGAAATGAACTATTTCCACTAATTAGATATCAGAAGTAACTTGACCGTCCACTTGATGCACAGACTTATCATAACGAGCGGAGTTAGAATATCGACGAAATTACTGCCGAATCTGATTTTCATTCGACTAAAAGCTGTGACATCTTTTTTAAACGAGGCGCCAAGCTTGGAATCCTTACTTGTTGACAAAGCGCCGAGAAATTTGACCGAATTATGGTTAACGAGACCTGGCAACGTTTCCAGACAAATGATTCCAGCATTCGTTTCCAGACTGATTGGGAGGAAGACGAGGTGACCAAAATTGTTAAATAAGTCGCCAGTCCGGGCATGCGACACGTAGATGAATGTGGACAGAATGTTGGTGAAGCAGAAGACGATAAAGACTGAGGGGAGGAAGGATCGGCTGACGGTATGGTTAATTTGAGCCAGAATGATTTTCAATTGCTTGAAATACATGAGCTTGGTACGGCTGACTGATTTACGAATAGAACCTCGGTCCTTCCTAATGGTGATGGATTATAAATTAATATGAAATTTCTAGTATAGACGAAATTACATATTAAATGAATGAGTAAAACATAACAATTAGACCCTTTAATTAAAAGCAATATAACCTCCAAGATTCATACCATAAAAAACTAGTACCATTTGTAAATAAATCTCACATTACCCCATGACTGGTTTTGAAAAGAAGACTTGGTATTGTGGGAAGTTCATGAAAATATCTCACCTTGATATTTCCTTTAAATGCACCCACAAGCTTGTAACTGATGCCACAAAGACATGAAACGTCATCAGTGTTACGGTCGCGCCCAACATGGAGATGATCCAAGCCTGTGCAAAAAGTGCTACCAGATGTACGAAACCAGTGGCAATGGTTATAGCCAAACATTCCGAGGTATGGCTTGGAAACGCGGGAAGGATCGAACCAATGAATGGCGGTCTTTTCAAGTCCATAATATTTATCAGAGTAATTCCTATAAGAGCAATGATTGGTGTGGCTGTTCCAAGTAGGGTTACGATCCATTTCAAGATATTTTGATATGATCGCATTTCCTGCGAGATAAGGTATCGTTTTTTAACTAGTTTGTACTCATAAGTGAGTATTAGATTCAACTGAGTGACGACATCTTCATTGTGAAGGAAGACAGATTCTACCGTAATGTGAGTTGCGAGGAGCAGTCCGAATGAGAAGAATGCTATAGATATTAAAGTTGTCAATGGGGTATTTCGCGGAGATATTTTAATTTGCCACAAAGCATTGAAAAAAAGAAAGACGGCGTAGAGCTTAAGTTTGGTATTGATATTTGATTTTATCGATGAAAATGAGAAAAACGGGGGAACTTCGGAGGTTAAACTAATTGGCGGGGTGATAGCTAAAGATATGAACTTGAGTTGCAGCCTGACCAGATTTGTGATCGAATTTAAGATCATTTTTCACCATTAAGGATACTTTGTGCTAGCGGGACTAGCTGATTTGCAGTAATTCAAATGAAGGTTATGGGGTGACGAGACCTTGACGCGTGGTATGAATATTGATGTTGCCATCTTAATCTAGGTATTTACGATATAAATAAATTATGTGATTTACTTCATTCGGTGTTGCAGAATTTGGGATTACTTTGAACGAGGGAAGTATGTAGCAGATATAAACTTACCCTGGTTTAATGATTGAGATAGTAAATATATAAATTTGTAATTGTTTGGATAACTGTGTAAATTTAAGAAGGCAATGGGATATTGCAAGCTTGGTTATGTTCAGAAGTCTATTTATTTTGTAATGTGTACATAGATATTGCTAGAATTTGGTATTCAAATATTGATATTTATCTAATACGAATTGTAGGTTTATTTATCAGCAATGGATATATGGAATAGCACATATAGGTACACTTACGAAATATGAATTGCTTCTTGAGGCGAGAACGATATGTATTTATATTCTGATGAATAAGTGGATTAGCACGCAACGCAGTTTGTAAAAACGATGGTATTTATTTCCATAATGTATACTGACTAATTGAGCCTGAAATTTTATTATTCACTGGGAATGAAAATACATTCACGGAATTTAAGGATCTTCCCACGAGAATATTGTACATGAGGATTAAAAATAAGTTTCAGAAAGTTGGGAATTTATAGCTCCCTATCGAACAGGCGAGCTATGTTGTAGGTAATAATATGCAAATTACACAAGTTAATCCTGAATTTAAAAGAGGATGCACTACTGTGGGAAAATGTTATGGAAAAGTTATGTACGTCGGTGCTTGGCTGATGCTGAAAATATAAAAACCTTGCAAGACATTAGGGTTGTGAGACTTTTTAGAGACTATTTATTTCAACAAATTCTTATTCTTAGGATTACAAAATCAAATTTAGTAGACGTTGATCGAGATTAATTGATTATTTTAGATGAGAAATTTGCATGTCTAAAACTACAAATTACCAAAAATGATGATAGGCGAATGGACAAATAAAATAAAGCAGGCCAATACTAAGGATTTGAAACTTTTTCCGTTACCGCTAACTTCAAGTAGGTGGGTTGATTTTATCATGCTGTGAAATGTGTATGTGTCATGTTTCACCGTTTGTGGCGAGCCGAGGACAATTTGAAACACTAAATTCTGCACGCTGCTGGGGTCACCGGAGGCTTGATGGATCTAAATACAAATTACATTTCTGAGGAGGAATATAGATCCAAGTCACCTGAGTAGGCTCTGATGGACAACTTTGTGTAGGGGTGGATGTCTCAAATATAAAAAAATAAGAAGCCGACCATTCTCGACGGTCTTTAACCGACTCTTGGCCTGGACTCTAAAACCCTTGGCTATGCGGCTGTGTATGTAATAAATACATATTTAAGTAAATTATTAAAATAGTGTCCATACATTGGGTTATAAAGTAATTGAAGTAATTTATATTGTAATTCAACCACGTGATTTGTACTTTCAATTACTTTGAAGAATTGGATGTAATTTTTAATCGTATTTATTAATTTGAACTATTGTATATAAGTAATTTAAATTAATAATATGCAATTCTAGACTCGAAATTCAGTGATTTGTAATTTGTAAAGTAATTTGGTATAACATTATAAATTAGGTCCCAGAAAATGATTCAGATTAAGAAAACTTTTGTGTAAATCGATCCCAGGATTGCAGGAACAATTACTTTGCGGCATGATCGCCGACGTTATGATTTGTCCCACGCCTTCGAGTACCTGCCCCACCTCCACCAGGACGAGCCCCCGGACTTCGATCACTTGGAAGTACAGGACGTTCGAAATGCACCGGGTAATTATTCCCATTAACGCCAGTAACGAAGGGTACATTTCCTTGATAACGCGTCGTGAAGCCTCCGTTGGGATAGGCCTCAAACAAATTAAAGTTTCGATCCGTCTGTCGCAATGGTCCCATCCTGTTTCTTCCAGCATCCTGGAAATATTTTGAAAACGTATCATGGAAATTTTTTGCAGATAAGCGCTAAATAATAAGTTTGATACACTAACAGAAATCGAGGGATCGTTAAGCGTATGTAACCCTACAGTCTTGGTAAACGCGTTTATCGCCGGTTGGTAATAGATTTTTGATTGATTTGGTAATAGATTTTTGATGATTTGGAAATACCTTATCACTGAATCAAGGTTTTTTTTGTGTTTTTTACTCCATCTATGCATAAAACCTATGTACCTTGTAATAAACCACAGTAAAAAACGCGAAAAACACATGCCGAATTTGTGACACAAAAAAAATGTTTGGAACCCTGCCCGAATGGTCTGTCACAACACGGCGATAAATTATTACCATTTGATGATAATCTATCACCAAGGCTGTTGAGTCACCTAGCGTCAACGTACGGTGGTAACATTGTACTATTTGCAAAAAATTAATTACTACCACCCCACCTGTCCGTTCCTGACAGAATCCATCACCGCCGCATCTGACGAAACAATGAAAGTGTTCCTGGCTCGGGAAGAGTACGGCCGGGTTGCGCGAGTTTCCGCCCTCCTCGCGTCGTTACGATGCATCCCTACAAAGTAATTTTGCATCAAAGTGTTGGAAGAGAGTCCAGGGTAAGGATTCATAATCCTGTCGTTATGAATAATTATTATTTTCGGCATTCATGGATGTCATTTTGAATAAAATGTAGTTAATCGCAAGTTTTCTACCAAATTCTATGATCTTAGGAAAAAATGGGAAAATATTTTTAATTTACCACTTTTTTTAGGAATACAAAATTTTTGGAGGTGAGGAAAATTGAGGTCTGGGAAATTGGAGGCTGAGGAAAATTGGGGTCTTGGAAATTGGAGGCCATGAAAGAATGGGAAGACAACTTCAAAAATCTTAATCAGGTCAAGAAAAAGTAGAAAAAATTGCAAACCTGTCGTAATCATTGGGGTGAATCACGTGAGCATTGATGAATTGATCTACCGTCGCCCTCCTCACTCGAGCCGGGGCAGAATCCACTCCCTGGAATTAACTTTGGGAATTTATTTTTTATTCATAACTTGGTTTATTGTTTACCTCAAAGTTGAACGTGGCTGTCAAAATTAGAGCGTACAGGAAAACTGTGATCCAATTCATTTTACTGCAGAGTAAAAAGAGAAGGATTTTTCGTATTGAAATTTAATTATTGTGAAGTTATTTACTGCGAAATTTTACTGCGAATCGCCCCCTTTTAATGCAGACCAATTTAGGCAACATCAATTTCCAAGTAATCTTAAATGAATGGAAGTTTGTTCCTTTTCTGGGTAATGAAATGATTAAAGTGGCGATTATTAATATATTTATGGCATGAGCTGTACCAATTTAACGAGCGACTTACTTGGAAGACGATATTTTTATAAATTCACCAACACTTGTTGCTGACTACTCACGATTACCACAGAAATGTCCAGATTAAGGAATTCTTGGAAAAATTCAGGTCGTCTCAAGTTAATAATTTAATGACTGTCTCATGCGAATATCTGTACGAGGAGAGGATCAGGCATCACTCTTGACCTTTCAACTGAGATTTGGGTAGAAAATATAAACTCGCAAAAATCCAGATTCGTATAAAGTTATAATTACTATAATCTTATATAATATATAACAGAGCCTTCCTTAACTTTTTTTAAATAGTTATGATTTGAGTTTCAAAAAATAAGGGTAAACTAGCACCATGGAAACGGTAATTTTGAAGCATTTTCCACTCGCGTTTGGAAAATTTTCACCATTCTCAAGAGATACGGAACGTGTCTTTTATTAAGAGAAACACCTATTTATTACTATTTTCTAAATTTTGAATATATTTCAAAATGTATCTAATTTTTGCAGCTGTTGCAAATATGTGTAAAAAGTTATTCTTGTAAATGAATGAGATTAATGTTCAAATAGAGTTTAAATATTTGGGTATCTATCTGGTAGGATGAAGAGCTAAGTTTTAATGTGCATGCACCTTTTCTAAATTTCACGTCATACATCATCCTTACGTATAATTAAATATGACAGATTTCCATTTCATACATCTAAATCCACAGCTGCGCTATTTTAACATTATCTATGAAAACTGTGAAGCAATGACTACCTTCATAATTCTTATTGATATATTAAATTCCCGACTTAATTAACGAAAAGCAGACCAAAATCAGTTTGATCAAATTCCATAATAGACAATAAATAGCACAAATAAAATATAACCTGACCTTTACTATTAAACTAGTGTCCAACCAAGGCGGCACGCAACATTTAATAATGTATGCGCCTTGTCTTATGCAGTAGATTTTCTCGCCTTGATTAAAGTCAAGGACATGGTTTGATTAAAGCAGAAGTTCTGTATATTTAAACTTGTCCCTCGATCAATGTAGTTGGAGCCGAATTTGATTTTGAGCAATGATAAGGACGCAATCTGTCTCTTTCTCAACGATTTTGATTTTTGGAAAGGAATTACGTTGTCTCTTAATGACTGACGTATTTTTTCTGATCCACTCCAAACCTTGGAGGCTAAAGTGTAGATCAAAATGTTTGCGATACTCGCATCCAATCCCATCAGTGGAAATATTAGAAATCCAGGCATCGAAATGTTATGATTGATACAAACGTATTGCGCGATTACTTGTATTCCAGGACTGCAAATCATCAAAGCTGGGACGACCCTCCGCATTAGAAATGCGTTGAACGTTTCCTCCAACAGTTGAAGACAATTATACATCCGGAAACAGTCGCTTCGATCAAAATCATTCTCAATCTTTTGGATTTGTCTAAATAAAAACATGATTACAGTTAGAACTATGACTTTCATACCTCCAAATTTTAATAGTTACATTTCCAGAATTTTGAAGTACGTCAGAATCCCAGTAATACCGACGAGCAGAACGTACACCATGGTGAAAAACGTTTATTCATTCATAAGTATTGCATTATATAGTATGATACATTTATTAGGCAGTTTGTGCAGCTACATTTTCAGAATTTCCGTACTGCTCCCTATCTCTTGAGAGTGGTCACCAATTGTATTTAGAATGCATATGGAAAAGAGTGAAGACTACCTGCTACAATTTACAAATTTGTTCCGTAAATTTTGACCATTCTCAAGAGATCCGGAGCGTTACGGAAATTCTAGAAACGTACCTTCGAAAATTGCCTATTGGGAGGAATATTATGATTAGCATACAATGATACATAGCTTGCAGCTAGCAATACTTAAAACTATGCACATTTTTGCGAAATAATTTATGTAATAATATTGAGGAATGGAGTTTACTCATGGTACTCGAGGTTTATGTATCTACACACGTTCTTAACTGACATGCATAAAATCACTAAATTTTTAAAACCTTGAACTTTGTGTACTTCTCCATAAATTGGATTTATGCCGCACTCGTTGAGTTAAGTCAGCAGCTGCGACTTGTGACGAATTAAGAGAAATACCCAACCTATAATTGGATAAAATGCAATATGCAAAGTTTAATATAAAGCGACCCAGATTCAGCCTCATCTCCCATCTCTGTTTGAACGACTAAGGATAAGCAAAACCTTGCAATTCCAGACTGGAATTACATCACTCGACCTGTTTGGTGTGGCAGACGTCAATTAATCAAATCCACTAAAATGTATCCCAACAAGATATTCGTGACAGGCCAAAGCAGACTGATACCTAAATCTGTCGTGGTAAATCAATAATAACTTTTAGTATATTTCCACTTCATTCATAACTGCTAAAATCTGTGTACCTGAATTAACTTGCGTCACCTGGATTTGTTACATACGTGATAAAGGTAATTGCTCTGAAGAACATTAAAAGATAAGATTAATGTAATAAAACATCATGCTAACTAATTTAAGGTAGTAAAAGTGCATAAATGTTAAATTAGGAAAAACCAGTGTCAATGGGCAGACTGTCAAATCTGTCCTGGTAAATTGACCTTACGATGGGATTCCCACCCTCGCTTTCCTCCTCCTTCACTTTCCTGAGAAGATAGCATATATGAAAATTAAGTAACTCACAATGCGCTGCCGTGAAGTGATCACCTCCGATCTTGATGGGACTAATGTCAATTTGTTCACCCCCAAAAATAAGTGAACCCGTATTTTTGCATTTTCGATAATGCGCGCATTTAAGCGCGTGGCGGGAATTTTAAAACTTTTTTCAGCCAAAATCCCGAATTTTAAAATCACCAGAGCTTTTTGAAGTTTAACGCAAGTTAAAAAATTAAAAAACATCTATGTTAAGAATTACTTCCTTGAGTTTCAAAAAATATTAGTTTTTGAAATTTCGAAAATTTTCGAGTTTTCCAAAAATTAGCTATTTTTCAAAACTCGAAAACTGCGTAAAAATTCGACATAAAAAAAGACATAAATGAAAAAAATATAAATAGTAATTCTGGGCATACATGTTTTTGAATTTCTTAATTGGCGCCAAAATTCAAAAAGTTCTGGTGATTTTAAATTTCGGGATTTTGGCTGAATTTTTTTTTATTCCTGCCATACGCTTAATTGCGTCCATTATCGAAAACGCAAAAATACGGGTTCACTTATTTTTGGGGGTGAACAAATTAAAATTAGTCGCATCAAGATCGGAGATGATCACTCGACTGCATCGCATTGCCAGTTATCTAAATCCATTAACTTGTCAAAAGTATGTGACGTTAAACAGATTGATAATTATCCTTCCAATTATCGTAATTCGTTGTAACCCCGCATTTGTCGTGTAACCCAGCTTGTAAGCCAGCTTGTCGTGCAACACAGAAACACTGAGCTTGACCAGCTCCGTCATGAAGTTGGCAGCCTTTATTTTCGGGGTGACTCCCCTCGTTATAAATTACTACGCCAAAAAGTACATTGAAGACGACAAGGAGGCCACATTGACAGAATTTGAAAACGACTTTGGATTAATACGGATTAAAAGTTATGACTTTATTGTTGGTAAGTGGAAAAAATAATTGGATTCAAATAATCAAACTATATCTTGAATTTATTGTTCCATAGTTGGCGGCGGTACGGCCGGGTGCATGGTTGCGGGACGCTTATCGGAGAAATTTAATGTTTTATTACTCGGGTGGGATGCCGGTGCCGCAGAGTAACATTAACTTTTTTACGAGGGAAGTTGCACTCGACCCGGATATAAATTTCCTGAGAATTATAAATCCATCCCGCAAAAAAATATGTCACTGTGGAATGGTGGGGTGAGTTAATCTTTGTGCAAAAAATAATTGCCTATAACTTTCACTGTATAATTCTGCATCTGTTACAAGATCGTGGGATTGGAGGGCGGTCGCATGTTGGGAGGATCAGGTTCCCATAACGACATGATTCATCAAAGGGGCAGTCCACAAGATTGAGATAGTTATGCCGCCGCAGTTGGAGACGCCTCGTGGTCCTATCAAAATGTTTTACCATTGTTTAAAAAGTCTGAAAATTTTGTGGGGGAATTGATCAACCCTGCCGAGTCGGGTGAGTTGGGTTAACCAGTTAATGACTCTTATCTTATGAGAGATTGTTATTGTTATCAGGTATTGTTACAATTACTCTTGGTAATTAACAGATTACTACGGAATTGGTGGACCCCTCACGGTTGGGACGCATATGCCTGCAATATTTTCGAAATGGGCTGAAGCAGGAATTGAGCTGGGTTACAGTATTGCAGATCCGAATGGGCAGCAAATTCCAAGTTTGTTTTGAATTTAAATAGGGTCAGTAGGGGTCAGTGTGATCAGCAAATTTTTTGTAAGATAACCTCATAATTTTGATAAACTAAAAAATTATGTTACGTTACAACGTTAGTAATAAAACACAATTTTGTAGGTTGTCAAAATTATGTGGTTGTTTTGTAAAAAAATTGCTGATCACAGTCACCCCACCCGATCACACTGACCCCTACTGGCCCTAGTTGAATCATCGTTATTTTTTAAGTGTTTACTTAATCCCAGGTTTTACCCCAATGCAAAAATTAATCGGGGTGGATGGCCTGCGTCAAAGTACGTACAAGAGTTACATCCTACCATTTGAAGGGGTCAGGGGAAACCTTACCGTGATCCGGTACTCGACCGTGACAGAGGTTGATTGTTTATAACACGTTTACCTTATAAAGTACATAACTAAGTTAAATATACCTACTTGTTCCCAGATATTGCTCAACTCTGCTAAGCGCGTGTATGGTGTGACATACCTGAAACATGGTATCCCACAAATTGCGCACGCCTCGAAGGAAGTTATCCTTAGCGCGGGTGCGATAAACTCCCCGCTTGTATTAATGATGTCAGGAATTGGTCCTAGAGACATTTTGGAGGGGGCTGGGGTAAAATAAAATACAAATAAAATATCTTCCAAGAGTTTAAGTGATGTAAATATTTGAATTTTTTGCGGGAGAAGATTCCCGTCATTATAGATTCCCCAGTTGGACAAAATTTGGCCGACCACGTATTCCTATATCTTGGGCCGATCACTTTTAACTCTTCTGCAGCCCCATACCTGCCCCGAATTAGGGAAGAAGATCTAGAAGATTCACTCAAGGCATATTTGGAAACCGGGGTTGGCGAATTTGGAGAATTACAAGAAGGGCCACAGGTCTTTTACGCGTCACGCCGAGCCGTCTCTGACGGACAGGGGAGATGGTCAGACGTCCAAATAGTTTTTGACGCAGCTTGCCCCATGTCAATGGATGACGAGGTGGAGTCTCAAGCCTGTTTCTCGTATTATTTAAACAGACCAAAATCCCGGGGTAGAGTATCTTTGAACACGTCCGCGTACGTAGCCGGAGTCACCGACTTTGTCAAACTGGCTGAAATTGATTTTAATGGATTTAGTGATCCGAGCGATATGGGTGTTTTGGTTGAAGGTGAAAATTAATTAAAATGGAAAGCGAGCAAACAGTTAATCAAATTTTCGTTAGCGATCGACTTCAGCCTCGACATTATTGGGACACATACCTACAAGTCGATCGGAGCGGTGAACTCTGCTCCAGCCATAAGTGCCTGCAGCGGTTTTCTCTACCCGTCGAGAGAGTATTGGGTGTGTTATATCAATCAAGTGGCTAACACTGCGATCCATATGGTCGGCACTTGCGCAATGGGAAGGGTGACCCACTCGAAATTGAGGTATTAAGATGGATTCATATTTATGGATTTGCATATTTATGCATAAACATGGATGTGGTTACAGAGTGTTGGGCGCAGTGGGCCTTCGAGTTGCGGACGCTTCGGTACTGCCTTCCACGCCAAACGCTAATCTTAACTATCCTACTATTTTGGTTGGTGAAAAGGCGGCTGAAGACATTCTGCGGGACTGGGGTGGTTTCATCGGTCCTACTAACTAGGAGATAGGGCAAATTTGGATTGCATGTATTTCCTCCTGTATTTTTACAGTGTCAAATTTATTGGGTGCTAAATATTCTAATTAAACGAGACAAATTAAATATGTGGTTTTATCTTACCTAGCGGACCGCTAACGTTGATTGTGTACGTAAAACTAACTAGAAACCGACACCTCAGCTGGTAGTACTTAACACCATCAACAACGTGGATTGAAACTTAGAATCCTGAATTTTATCTAAGTTTCTACCCACTCTGTTACTAGTACGAAACAGATGCGGCTGACATCCAATTCTGTACCCAAAGTAGTATAGATAACTACCGCCCTATAGAACATCAGCCCTGACGAGAGAATTACAAGTTTTATCTTTAACCACAAAATGCTGATGTCCATGGTGTAAAACTTATTATTATGTCATCCGCTGGTAATATTTTTAACCACAAACATCTAAGGGTGAGACTTAGAACTACAAAAATTATCCAAATATCTCCCCCGGCTGCTAATGATACAAAATAAGTATATTCGATACAACCAGTAAAGTTACACTTCTGTATCCAATGTAACCAAATCGATAAAGTAATTTGGTAATGTTATATCAGAAAAGCATAAAATTCCCTTCAGATTGAAATTTTAAATATATCTGCCTGAAAGAAACTTACTGCATTTCGAATACAACTTGTCCATTATACCTGAAAACAAAATGTACATAAATCAATTAAATTGGATCAATATCTGTTCGACTACTTACAAATGTATAAACCACCCTCCATCGATGGCAAGGTTGAATCAGAAAAACAGAAAATATTTATGAGATAGACCCTTTCGTCTTTCTGACGTCTTCGTCTTTCTGAAACGTCTTTCTGAAACATATTCCTGGATATCTAACACATGTCACTATATGTCGCTGGCAATATGTCTAAGCATCTGAGGATGCGATTCCGAACTTCATATTACATCTTACCCGCGTGTTACAGGTATTAAACAAGGAGTATTTATTAAATTTGATCTTGCGCTAATAGAGATAAGAAATACATTATGACAGAATTGAAATTACGTCACATACTTTACGAGCCGCCGTAATGTCAAATGGAATTAAGTTGATGAAATCCATACTTCACGAACATCCGGGGTAGAAATTTGGAATTGTTAGTTTTATCCAAGTGCCCACCCAGTATATTCATGATACAAGACAGACTCGATATTCCACTATGATTTGTTTGTTTGTGTAAGGTAGCTAAAGTGCCCACGGAAGTCAATTACCGCGACCCAACGATGACAATGTGGTATCAGAAAATCAGGAGGGAGGGATCTTCAGAGATTTTGAACTCCTATAGATCCACACATCCTGGGTTTCTCAGACAACTTTCACCTCTTCCAGGGCCCTATAAGTTACTACCCATCCTCCAACGACGACTACGTTTTGTCTGAAAACCATAAATTGTTGTAATGGAAATATTTCAAAACTTCCTGCTTCAAATAATTTATGAATTACTCAGCCAATTTGGGCCTTTTCACACATGTCATCATGATGTCATATGTTAGGAAACCAAATATTTGTGGCAATTAAATTTAGATTAATTAATAGTTCTTTGACTCTACCATTTACTAATCTTCTCAACATTGGGTAACAATTGTTGTATATTATACGAAACTGTCTCGCACTAACACTAAAAATAACTTTGTAACGAATTGTCACCATTGATTTTAGTTTTATTGCAGTTATTTTGTGCTATACTATGCTAGTAATAAATAAATATTGAACTGAAATTGTAAAATTGAAATAAATATTTTCAGTCATTACTAGTCTTACCGTGCTATCGTACCATTAATTACAATGCAGCATCCATGATGACGGATTTAACCTAAATTGGTACAAAATGATGAAATGACAACTTCGGTCCGCTGCTGATGGTATCACAAACCATCAACATTAGTGGCTTAGGCCAGAATGATAAATTTTATCTGGGCAAAGGCCTAGATTTCCAACACTACATAAATGTACTTTCAATTCATAGATTGTCTCCTTGCATACCACATATTTTCTTTGATAAAATACTAATGACTAATTTGCTGCTTCTCCCAATCAAGAGCGAATATTAAAAATTAGCTATAATGACTTTTATACTTGTTGATTCGTTCGCAACCAAGTGGGAACTGCGCGTTGGTTTTGCTTCAAGCGAGGGAAGTAAGGCGGAAAAGTGGTCCACATACTTTTCAAACAATTTCGTATACTTTAAACGTTATCCTGAAAGAGGTGAACTGATTATCCAATTATATAGATTTTGATTGGGGGTCATGCAAAAAATTAGTTGGACAATATAAAGTGGCGATCTGCAAATACTTCAACAATGCTTCATGTAAACGTTAACAAGGTAGGATAGCATCGGTTCTGTGGTCTGAATAATTGGTTCAAAATTGTTCTATCCACACATGATTTGTGCAAAACCCTAATAGTTTTTGATTAGAAAAGTTTTACATCATTCGTTGGAAAATTGACTAATGAATTCTGTAACAATAGGTTTATGTGAGGCGTATATGAAAATGTGGAGGTTTGTACAAACCCCGGAAAAAGGAAGCCGTAAAATTAATCCCATTTCCCTTCTTATTTTCGTATCCCAGAAAACTTGTTGATTCCAACATGGGGAAACCAAGTTTTTGATGTGTTGTACCTATGATATGATGTTGTACCTATGATATTAGATTGTTATAGAACTGAAATCTTGCGAATATTGTGTCCTACTTGTGTAATAAATCAATTTCAAACTTTTTAAAACGGTGACACAAAACGAATTATGTATGTATATCTATCGTTATTACATTATTGGTTGAGAATATTGCTCCAGTGAGGTAAGCTAAATATATGAAATTGTATGGCCCTCATATTTACAGAATTACCACAATCATGGCAGAACTAATGTCTGACACGGCCAGGAATTCATTACGAGTAACAAACAAGGTGACGTAATAATCTTGTCGCAACGAGGGCGCGGAAATACAAATAAAATACAACCAGTGCCCGACCTAGGGGTGAGCAACCCGGGCAATTGCCCGGGGCGCCACATTTTAGGGGCGCCGGCAGGTGCCACGGTTTACACTAGATATAATTGAGTTTTAATGTATAATAAATTGGTTATGCAAATTAATAACTCAAAATCGTCAACCATCTCATAGAAATTATGGGTTTTTTGTAATACACAAGATAGCTTGGTGCATGAAACGGAGTATCTTGGCATGCCCCTTTAAATTATCATCGATGCGCGATGTTTGTGTTTGTTTACTTCCTATTGGGAATAATTATACCAGTATATAAATACTAAATTTGATTCGCCAGAATTTTTAAATATTTAATACTTCGACCATGTCGTTCTATAAGAAGTCTGGAGCGGCGAACCGGAAACGGCAAGCGGTGGAGACTGAAAATTTTCAAAAGATGGTGGCCAGCTACCCAAAAATTGGCAAATTTTTTTGTCAAAGTTCTGCTGTCGATTTGGACGCCTCACAATTATCGTCACCCCAAACTGTGCCAACTCATTCTAGCAAGAATCAAAAATTACCAGAGGATAAAGTGACCGGCTGAATTAATCTCTAAGGAAATTAATCTCTAATCTCTAATCCTAAGTTTGACCCCACTGATAAAAGATCATCATAGGCATGAAAAGGGACCACTGTACTTGAGCCATCAAATACAGAATCAATTTATTTCCAATTTATAGAAGGATTCTCGGACGACATGGTTGATGAAAGAAAATTAGTTTATTTCCCAAGCTTTCGACACTACACTTGTGTCATCATCAGGGATAAAATAATAATATTTGGAAATAAGAAACACGACAGTATTCACTCAATATAATAATTACAATATGTGTTTTTGTAATTGTTGTCACGGATGTTTGATGAGAGGCAGCATTAGAGATGACCAAATTGGATTAAGTTGTTTTCCGGTGTCCTGATTTATGGTGTTTGGACATTTTCTGATGTATAAACTTTCCAAAAATTTTCTATGAAAATTTCTTCTCTCCGGAAATTTATTTCCATCCTTGCCGACCAAGTGGCCACTTCCATTCTGAAATCGGTGAACGCATCAAAATATTATTCAATAATTTTGGATTGCACTCCTGACATATCCCATGTTGAGCAAATGTCAGTGGTTTTGAGATATATGAACAATGGATTTCCAAATTTCCAAATTCATTCATTATTCTCAGGATATTCTTAACACTTCCTGTGACCGTGGCTAGCTGTGAAATATCCCTCTCGAAACTCAAGCTCATCAAGACTTATCTGAGGTCCACCATGAGTCAGGAACGTTTGACCGATCTGGCTACACAAGCCAGACCCAAGGCCACGGGGCCTTGCTTGGCTAAGCAAGGCCCCGTGGCCGAGTGGTTTAGGGGGTTTGGCTGTCACCACGCAGTCAGACGTTCGATTCCTTCGGCCGGGAAGCTATTGCTAATCCTACTTGGCTCTGTGTTAGTACGGGGTAGGTGCACGATCCTTGACAGGGTGAGCCCATCCATACGGAATGGAAATGTCATAGAGAGTGGCCCCGGCAGAGTCCGTTCTCTGCTCGGGATGAGACGACTTACTACCAAATTATGGCAAGAAGTCGGCATCTAAGGCTGAAAAGCAGGGAATACCTGATGTCTTTCGATGGAAAACGACCGCATTTTGAGCATTTTTTTCATTTTGAGCATTTTTTTACACTGTCAATAGAAAAAGATTTGGCCGCTAAAATTCCGTTTTCAGATACTATCGAATATTAAATCACGCAAAATTGAGTCTTAGATAATTTTCAATTTTTTGGGATTTCAAAACATGCAAAGTAACTTTTGTGAATTGCTTTAAACAACATTCTAATTGATTAGTAATATTTTTTAACTTTAAGTGAGTAAGTGACTATCACTATCACTTACTTATCTGGATATTTCTTATTTGTTACTTTTTGTTCTGACATTATTAGCTCGCCCTGCGAAGCAAGGGAGCTATTGAATTCCTCTTGTCCGTCTGTCCGTCCGTCTGTGTGTTAACGACTCTATTGCATCAATCGATGCTAATTGAAGCGAGTTATTGACATTTATGATCAACTTATTAGCACCACTGATATCGAACAATCAGTGAGTCAAAATGGTGCCAAACAATTGAGGGAAAAAGTTCAAAAGGAACCAAACGTGCAGAAGAATCGACATAAATAAACCGTTGTAACGTTAGAAGTAGCTGGCCCTGTAGTAAGTGAGAGAATAAGTGGGTGGACAATTTGGACATAATCTTGACTCAAACGTTATAAAATATGTACATATATATATATATATATATATATAACGTAAAGATTGTGGAGAAACATGGGTAGAATTGTAACTATGATTACATCATTCGGCAGATCAAACAATGATTGAAATCAGAGAAAAAGTCCAGAGTTTATCAAAAATTCTTTTCCAATATTTCTGCTCGCTATTTCTTGTTTACTGCTATTTCTGGACAAACAAACCAAAGAGGAGAAATGTCGAACGGAGAACAAACGGGTCAAAAGTCGGAGAGACGTGCCTAACGGAGGAGAAACGTGAAGAAAGTTGGAGAGACGTGTCGAACGGGGGAGAACACAACGAGTGGTGATTGGAAGGTACGTAACCTAATTAGTTAGCGCGTGCCTAATCGCGATAAATTGTCATGCCTCGCAAAAAGATAAGTCAAAAGAAAGCATGCGGAGAAAAAGGGAAGATGATGACTTCCGCCGAGCCGAAGCCCCCAAAAACGCTATCGCCAAGAAATTACAAAGAATGGATGAGAACATGCGGCACCAAGAACAACAACGAGACAGAGTAGGAAGAGCTGAGCGCAGAAGCGATGACATCTATCGTGAGGAGGAAAAAGAGCGGGATAGGATGCACCACGCTACCCGCCGAGAGGACGAGTCTTACCGCGACATCGAAAAAGAGCGGGATAGGATAAAACACGCTACCCGCCGAGATGATACATATTTCAAGCAGGCCGAGCAACAGCAGAACACAATTAGAAAAGCTATTTCACGTCATAGGGCCCAGGCGGATTTTGATATTTTGTGTAAGTCTTTCCAGTCTGAGATACTTGATCAACCTAGATGGATATGTGGTTCGTGTGGAGGTCTTTGGTATCGATCTTCTATGCATCCAACAACAATAGAAGTCATGCGGAAACTTCATCTTAAGAAACCTTTCGCCCATCTCAAAGTCGATGGGAAGTATTTCCTATGTGGCACTTGTCACGATTCGCTGAAGAGTGGTGACGTGCCCAGGTTGTGTATGTCAAATGGACTGTATTTTCCTCCAATTCCACATCAATTACAGAACATGACTAGCTTAGAGGAACGTTTGGTGGCATTAAGATTACCGTTTGCTCAGATTAGATCCTTAGGAAGCGACCGTCAGTAGGGAATCCGAGGGGGAGTAGTAAACGTTCCTAACGACATGGACATAGTCGCCAAAGTAATTCCCCGCAGATTTGATGAGACGAGTACAGTGCAGGTTCAATTGAAGCGCCGCATGTCTTATAAGCATCCATATATGTTCCAAACAAATCGGCCATACAAAGTTTTTCATGCCGCAAATTATTTAGTACGTACCGAGTTGTACAAAAAGGAAAAGGTATTTCTTTCGTCAGACTGGGCCAATAGTGTTTCAACTGATACTGTCGAATATGTAGTAAACCCAGACGATGCTACCCCAAGTGATACACACATTGATGATATTCAAGATCTATCTATCAATGACAATTCCCAAACTGAAGATAATGATCCCCCCTTAACGGAAACTCTTATGCAAGAAGACCAACTAATCATGGCGGTTGCACCTGGAGAAGGAATGCGCCCGCTGTCGTTACTTTTGGATCTCGACACTGAGGAGCTGTCCTTCCCTTCTATTTACTGCGGAATCAAACGAAAATTGAATCCAGAAGCTGACTTATCATATACTGATATTGCAAAGTCAGAACTTCGCAGATTTGATCCACGTTGCAGAAGAGCTGACAAAATCTTATACAGCTATCGCCTGGTCCAAACTCACAGAATCGCGAGTAACATAAACATATGTATTCGAAAAAAGAAAAAGCGTGGAATCGTGACTGTTGGAAATCTACTTAACAGACAATGTGTCCAGAGCTTAATTCAACACGACGACGGGTATCGACTTTTATCAAACATAGTGAACTCACCGTCGTATTTGGAAGAGAAGAAGAAGGACGTTATGGCCATGATTCGTCAATTGGGCCTTCCAACATTTTTCATTACGACATCTGCCGCGGAGACGAAATGGCCCGAGTTGATTTCAATGCTTCACAACAGAAAGTATGGGACTGAATTAACTGATGAAGAAGTTTCCAACCTAAAATTCGATGATAAGGCGGATCTCATACGACATGACCCCATAGGATGTGTAATGGCTTACGACAGAAGGGAGAAGGCAATGGACAGATTTTTGATCAAGCCATCTGGTGGAATATTTCACCCTTATTTGCACCAGGACTTTTTTAAGAGGAAAGAAGTTCAGCAACGCGGGTCAATACACACTCATAGAATGGACTGGATTCAGGATGCCCCGAAGTTTGAGAAAGAAAATCCCTTAACACATCAAGCTTGCTGTGAATTCATAGATGAATTCATAACCTGCAGAAAAGATGAAACCGGTGACATGAAGGAAGTCCTTGCATACCAGATACATAATCATTCTCATCCATGCGAAGACAAAAGGCGAGGATGCAGATTCGGTTTTCCTATTCCACCCATGAGGACGACCAGAATACTACTTCCATTACCTCCGGATCAAGTGAAGTTATATAAGCAACAATTTACCAATATTAAAGAAAAGCTTTCCACATGTGGACGACATGCAGAGGAAATTAACTTTGATACCTTTCTTCAAGAGCTGGGTTTGAATGAAGAAGATTACATTCTCTCGATTCGTTCCAACCTCAGAATTCCTAAAGTGTTTCTTCGGCGTGGTACCCATGAAATCTATATAAATGCATACAATAGGAAGCTTCTCTTATGCTGGCGAGCAAATATTGACATTCAATTTGTTTTGGATCCCTATGCTTGCGCAACTTACGTTGTTAATTACATAAGCAAGTCAGATCGAGGCGTGTCGAAAATTTTGCGCCAAGTTAGTAAAGAAATTAGGGAAGGCAATTTTAGTTTGAAAGAACGCTTAAGCTTATTTGCCAATGCTTTTGCAAAATCCTCGGAAGTTTCCGCTCAAGAAGCCGCCTGCTGTTTATTAAAAATTCCAATGACACAAAGTTCACGTGATGTCACATTTATCAATACAAATCGACCTGATGACAGGGTAATTTTCGTCAAGTCTGAGGACGAACTAGAGAAAATGGACCCAGCTTCATGCGATATAGCACTAAAAGGTGTTTTAGAGCGTTATGTAGTGAGGCCAAAGGAATTAGATGATCTTTGCTTAGCAGCTTATGTCGCAAACTATAACTTTATAAAAATAGTGTGTCCCCGGCGGAGACAGGCTAATCAACCGACAACAGCATTAAGCTTAACTGATAATAGTGGATACTTAACCATAGGCGCAGCCACGGATTTTTTTCAGGGTGGGCACTTTGTTCGAAATATATATATACATATATACCTTAATTATTTCCCTTAAATATACCGAACTATATATGTACATATTATGTATTTGAATACGGTTTCTAAAAAATAGAAAGCATGGAGTAGAATATGTTACATTTTGGTTTTGAGAATCAGCAATATCTACTTCTCATTGTACAAGTATGTAACTAGATATATAACTGTGTCGGGTGTGCATCTTTTCACTTTCAAGTTTCAACGGACTTGATGGATCCCCAACAATGAATTTTCGCTTTGCAATGCATTGTCTAATTGTTTATTATTTATGAATAATTTCGCGGCATTTGAAAAAATTCGAAAATCCACTCACAAAAAGTCAGCAATTATGAAATGCGGATTGGGAATTTCATTAAACCCTCGAAAGGAGTTGTAAGGAACAAAATTAGACTACTTTTGGCGAAACCTGGTTAACGTCTTTAAGCTAAAAATCGCAGACGGGAGAGACGTTTTGCCAATTTGGGCTCCTCTCACTAGGCGTGGAAGTGGAATGGAAACCCGGGACTAGTACCGTTGGACACAGGTAAATCAGCTCCATAAACACTGAGAATCTTATACAAATCAGAGTCGTGTATGTGTGTTTGAGTTGTCTGTCTATCTGTCCGTCTGTCCGTATCCCCGATAACTTAAGGACGAATTCGAATTTCAACATGTGGTTTTCGCCATCGTGTTACTACTTTTAAAAGTACGGATAAGTTTGAAGATGGGCGTTGTAGGTCGTAAGGTCACGGCGCCACGGCGACGACGCCAACGTTCACAGATGTCGAAATTTATGTTTCAACCGTCCTGGACGTAGTTTGGGGTGGGGACTTCAAAAATGGACATGGGTTTGACGAACGATAACGTGCAGACGGGTCTCCGACTTGGTTTCGCCCTGTTGCTACATCTCGTTTGCAACTTTTTATTTGATAATCATTACGACTAGCAAGAAGTTACGAAAATTTCACCGGCATGCATACATTTCATACATACGTATAGTAAGTAATAATAGTACGACATATGGGTATTTTGGGAAGATAAAATTAATAAACTTCATTTCATCATTCCAAAAGCTGTTGATTACGTTAAATCATTAGAACAATTCCAAAATTGCCCGTTTTCCTGCCGTTCCAGCCAAATATTTCGCGAACACGCAATTTAACAACCTCATGTTCTATGATAAATTTTAAGTTATGTAAAACTAACTATCAATTTAGACTATCAAGAAGGAAATCCAGATGGATAAAGGTCTACGGTACGAGAATAAAGAATATTGCGGAATATTTTGAAATTTAAATCGAGTTAAAACTCCTATTGAAACTTGGATGAACGTATGAATTTTCCAGGGTGGGCATTTGCATTGCATGCCCACCCTGGCATTTTACAGGGTGGGCATTGCCCACCCTGCCCATGCCGTGGCTGCGCCTATGTACTTAACTAAGAGGGCAAATTCTCGGATTATCAGATATCGGAGAATCGGCTTGTATCAAGGTCCGGATAATTTTTATCGGGAACAACTTATGCTATATGTACCATGGCGAGATGAAAACAAAGATCTTCTTGATATTGATCATGTTAAGGTGTACCAAAACCGCCTGGGTGTGATTACACAAAAGCGCCAAATATATGACCCGGGTTTTCCTGAAACCGAGCTGGAGGTAGAACTCACTAGGGCACAGGAAGACGACGAAGTTTTTGAAAATGATTTGCTCGATCATAATCCAGTCGATTTCATAGCGGAAGACCAAGATTTTGCTATTGAGTTAGGGGATTCAACTTCGAAATTTATGTCTATTCGTCCCCCAAAGTTAATACCAACAGAAGATTACCTCCAGTTACTGAGAACTTTGAACGAATGTCAGAGGAAATATTTATTGAATCTTTTGCATAGTTTGAAAGCGCGATCTGGGCAAAATTTCCACATAATTCATGGGCAGGCAGGTGTAGGAAAGAGTAGATTAATTCATGCAATCGTTCAATGTATATTAAGGATATTGGAGGAAGAACCTGGATTTAGTGGTGAAGCCATTCCCGTGCTAGTTGCAGCAGCAACGGGCAAAGCTGCATTTAATGTTTCTGGCATGACTTTGCACTCTGCTTTTAGACTCCCGCCAAGTCAGTACGGAGGAAAAATGGCTCCACTCGATCATGGTTCATGTAATACATTGCTGTGTAAGTTTGCGGCTTTAAAGGTTTTGATAATTGATGAGATTTCCTTAGTTAGCTTGAAAATGTTCACTCAAATTGATCAAAGACTTAGGCAGATTTTAGGCATAGACGAATTGTTCTGAGGCGTTAGTGTCTTGGTCGTAGGAGACTTTTACCAGCTTAGTCCAGTTTTTGGGCAATTTGTTTTCGAAGAGAGCAAGGAAATTTTAGGACCGATAATTGGTAATCCACTCTGGGAAAGATTTCGCCTATTTGAGCTCAAGGAAATCATGCGGCAAAAAGATGACGCCAAGTTTGCAACTGCATTAAACAGACTGTCAATAGGAATGCTTGAGGAAGAAGATATTGAAATGTTCAAGAGTAGAGAAATCAGAAGAAACTTAGTTGTCCCAGATGACGCAACGTGGTTATTTTACAGCAACGCTGATTGTGATAACTTTAATCGTGAAGCGATAAATCGAGCAAAGGGTCCATTGTTCAATTCATATGCCATAGACAGAGTTCAGGGTGGAAAGATACGGGAGTCCCAAAAAGCAATGTTAGAGTCTGCCGAATATTTAAGTTTACAACAAACCGGCGGAATGCCTTACCATGTTGCTTTAAGAGTCGGCCTTCGTTATATGATTACAACCAACATTGACGTAAGTCATGGATTGTTTAATGGTGCCACAGGTAAACTAATGGGTGTAATTGAGAAGCCCTTAACCAGTGGAGGGAAGGCAGTTAAAGTTGTATTCATGGAATTCTCCGATAAATTGGTGGGGCAACTGGCAAGATCAAATAATCTAGAATTGCTCAAGCAATTAGCAATTCCGTTGCATTGGACTCCAGTCTTCTCAGAGACAAAAGCATTAAATAGTTTTGGACGTTATCAAGGAATGGAAATTGTTCGCCGTCAAATTCCTTTAGTTGCTGCCAATGCCATTTCCATCCATAAATCACAGAGTCTGTCAATTCCAAACACGGTCGCAAATATTCCAACTCGAGGATTAAGAAGGGATGCAATTTATGTAGCTATGAGTCGGGCGCCTTCTTTATCAGGATTATTTATTGGTGGGACCTTCAATGCCCCACGTGCAATCGACACCTTAAGACATCCTGTGGCTTTAGAGCTCTCCAGATTGCGAAAATTACCATTTCCATATTCGCTTAGATATTTACCAGATCAGGAAGATCCCAATAAAATCGTATTCCACAACATTCAATCTTTCCGAGCACACTGTGACGATATTCTTGCTGACAAAAATTATATGGCATCTGATATTCTGTGCTTTTGTGAAACTCGGACATTGGTATCAGACATGGTTGAGCTGCCAGGATTTTCTATTTTGCATCGGATAGACTCACCGACTATCCAGTCCTCTATTGGAACACTTGTGCTTAGAAGTGACTCATACTCTCCAATCATATCAGATTTTCAATACTCACAGGGCAATTTAAGTTTCAATAAACATTTTCAAATAGTTCAATGGAGACAGAACAATGTTAGAATTTGTATGCTATACCGTAGTCCTCAGTACAGTACGCTGACTTTTCTACAGGACATAAGAAATCTTCTGATTAGCACCAAGAACACGCCAGTGATCGTTTTCGGTGACTTCAACCTGAATTTCCTAGCCCAGGATGGATGTCAAATGAAGCAGATTTTTTATTCAATGGGGCTCCGATTAATAACTCCAGCTGAATATAGTACGGATGGAAATACATCAATTGATGCATGCTTTTCTAACATACAGGGTGTTTCTGCTTGGTTCTATGAAAGCTATTGTAGCTATCATAAACCAATTTGTGTGACATGGCCAGATGATATAGCTATATTGTCATCATTAGAATCAGTAACTTGTCCCATAGAGACCGAACTAATGGAGGTAGGTGTTAGCGATAATGAAATCTGTCTGGAAACAGAGGATTCGGAAATGGACGTAGATAGCGAAAATTTGTTTGTAGACGGTGTAATTTTAGAACCAATCCCTTCAATTCATCTCGGCATTCAAAATTTAGGCAATACATGCTACATTAACGCGATTTTACATTTAATATACGATTCTCCTTCCATTCAAGAATTTCTTAAAATCAGTGAAGATCGTTTATCTCGTTGTCTAACGGGTTTCCTCCACGCATTAGTCACCCCAGTTCCACTTGGTCAACTTAGAACTACCAGACTAGAGTTAGTTGAATGCATGCCATCATACCCAATTGGAATGCAAGACGACCCCCATCTATTTCTTCTTGACATCTTGCAGAACTTAAGCAACTCTGGGTTATCTCTAGAAGAATATGTTTCCACAATAGAAACTGAGGTTGCGTGTTACTGAGGAGTAAACGCACGAGAAATGAAGCGTGTACATCTCTATCGATCGGAAGGTCAACGCATAACAAGAGTGCGTGAATAATCATTTCACCGGTCAGCAAGAATATCTGTGTGAGAAGTGTAAATTGTTAGGGTTAGCCAATTTCAAATCTAATACAGTATTGGCGTCAAGAACTCTATTCCTTAATCTGAAAATTTTTACAAATCAAGGGGCAAAAATTATGGAGAAGTCATTTGCACCAGATGTTCTTACATTACCTGGCTCAGATAATGTGTACAGTTTGAGATTTATAGTTAGTCACTTGGGCAATTCCTTAAACTCAGGGCATTATATTGTGAATTATAGACGGGAAAATGATTGGGTAATCTATGACGATAACAAGGTGTATATTTCTAAACACTGCGTTGGCGATGGCTACATTTTCTTATATAAATCAGTTTAATTCCACCTCCAAAACTACCTGCTAGCACTGAAACACGCATTTCATATGCATCTTTATCATAATCATTGAAGCTCATTTTCAAAAATTCATACCGAAAAGCTAATTTTTCGCAATACAATAAAAAAATATTACCGTTCTACTACCTTATGCCGCCACTACCAGCCCTCATTTATTTTTTTATTTTATTTTACTGTCATATATTTAATCGATTTTTAGTTTTTCAGATATGTCATTTTCCTACTTCAACTGACTGTCAATAGGTATTTCAGTTGTTCGATTGGTTAACTAATTGATTTTTTCAGATTCAAGCAGAGCGAGTATAAATTGGTAATGTCTAAACGTAGCTGAGTTCGAAATTACGGTCGTTCTTCGTTAAACAAGGTAGGTGTCTTTTAATGCATTTTTGCTAATAGAGTCATCGAGACAAGGGTGTCCCAAGTCGTTAATAGTGTCTCACTTGAGTGCACTCCCGATACGAGTTAAGCACAAGGAAGTAATTTCCCAAGTGAGATACTGACTGGGACAGGTAGTGGTATGCAAGGTAAAGGTATTACGGTAGTACTAATTAATTACGATGTGTTTTTTCCATAATCGCATTCGCATTAGCATACTCACATCATTTCATACAAGGTTCATACGCATCCCTTATGAAATCTCTGGCCCATAGGCATCCATATCATACCCTTGGTTCATACGCATCCCTTATGAAATCTCTGGCTCATATTCATCCCTATCATACCCTTGGTTCATATGCACCTCTTGTGAAATCTATGGTTCACAAGAGGGAAATGCACTGGTAATGTTGAAATATACATTACCAGGGCCCAGATGCGATGTAAGATGTCATGGGTTCATAAATAGAAATCGCACTGGGTCGTAACCTGCTGGTTACCTGATGAACGGGAGTAGCGACCTGTCTTGGGCTTATAGAGAGCCGAAACCCAGTTGGTGTTGTGTATAACCTTGCAATGATTTGAAAATAAGTGCATGTTTTTGATATAATTTTGCATCAATAGTGGAAAATAAACGGGGACAATAGATCCATAAAATTGAAAATAATTTCGACTTTTCCTGGTTGAAAAAGTGAGACAAATGGCATCCGGATACTCTGCACTTTTGGTGCGTAGTGTATCAATTCTCCCAATTATTTCGCACCACTTTGTGTTACCGCCTGCATAATTTTGCATTAATGATGCAGAATAGGCGGACAAAAGATATACATAATTGTGACATCATTTTTCACCAACGGTGGAAAATAAACGAGGAAAATGCATCCATAATTTTGACATAAAATCCTGACAAATTCGAAGTAAAAATTCTAGTTATTTCTTTAGGTTCTTATGCACGTTTGGTGTGTTTTGCATCTATTTTCTCAATTGTTGGGCACCATTCTGTGTTACCGACTGTTCGAGAGCACTGGTGCTACTAATTTGGCAAAATTTGCACATGGGGCAAATTAATTAGCATCAATTGATGCAAAAAACTCGTTAACAGACAGACAGACAGACGGACAGGAGGAATTCAATAGCTCCTCTGCTACCCAGGGCGAGCTAATAATGGTTAATTTATGCGTAAAATTCCCTGTAGTTTTTATAAGATTACTAGCCTATAAGTCCGTCTTAAAGACGGGCCGCGTTGAAAATCGGCGACCATTTTGCTAAGTAATTTTTTTAACGTTGCTAGGGAATTTTTTTAACGTTGCTAGGGAATTTTTTTAACGTTGCTAGGGAATTTTTTGTAAGGTTGCTAGGCAATTTTTGGTAAGGTTGCTAAGGAATCTTTTAAGGTTGCTAAGTAATTTTTTTAACGTTTCTAAGGAATATTTTTAACATTGCCAAGGAATTTTTTATCGTTGCTAAGGAATTTTCTTGACGTTGCTAAGGAGTTTTTTTAACGTTTCTAGGGAATTTTTTGTAAGGTTGCTAGGCAATTTTTGGTAAGGTTGCTAAGGAATCTTTTAAGGTTGCTAAGGAATTTTTTTAACGTTGCTAAGGAATTTTTTCACGTTTTTAAGGAATATTTTTAACATTGCTAAGGAATTTTTTAACGTTGCTAAGGAATTTTTTTTGATGTTGCTAAGGAATTTTCTTGACGTTCCTAAGGCGTTTTTTAACGTTTCTAGGGAATTTTTTTAACGTTGCTAAGAAATTTTCTTGACGTTGCCAAGGAGTTTTTTTAACGTTTAACCATAATCATAACCATAACCATAACCATAATCATAACCATAACCATAATCATTTTTAAACTCATATTTAAAATTAAGATCATAACTAAAATCACAACTAAAATCATAAGTAAAATTATAATTGAATTAAAATCGGAACCAAAATCACAATTAAAACCATAACCATAACCATAACCATAACCGTAACCATAACCATAACCATAACCATAGCCATAACCATAACCATATTTAAAATCGTATTTAAAATTAAGATCACAACTAATGGCTTGCTCTGATTGGTTAAGCTAGGATGCCAACAGCCAATCAGAATGCTGGAATGTAACGGAAAATTTTCACGGGACGGACTTTTCGAAATTATAATATAGATTTGGTTAAGAATTAAGCATAAGTGTCACGGCGAGGCATAAGTTTAATAATGAATAATTTTACGTATAAATTTCATGCAATTTTAAAGAATAATTTGATTAAGTAATAAGTATAAAGTATGAATGTCAGTGTGCGATTTCCCCATGAATAGGTGGCAGTTGCCATGGTGATGAGTTTGAGTGGGAGAGAGGACGCTTCTCCTTTGTCAGCGAGGGAGTGAGGGTGCAAGTGTGAGAGTGAATGCGAGTAAGAAGTAAGTAAGTAAGTACGAAGTCGAGCAAGTAAGAAGCTCACTTTTTTGTAGTCGTCAAATATTCGAATAAAGTCTAAAAATTAATTAAAAAGAAGCATTTAATTAAAGTTTTTCAGTTATTCATTTGCGTCTACCTTACTTCAAGCTAAATAAAGCATAATTGGCACGATTTATGCAGTTTAGCAAGTTTTAAGACCAGTTTCAAGTCCAAGTCAAGTCTACGTATAAGTTCATTACGGCACGAGGTCAGATCACCAGAAAACCAGTTATCACGAGAAGATAATTTCTGACGTAGATAAGCCCCGGCCGTAACAATAATCCATTCATGTACAAATGTGAATCATGCCAAACAAAAGTGCTATTAAATTTGTTCAAATTTGTTTCATTTTCCAAGTCCGATTTATTATGTGTGATGTGATTAAAGTGAATATAAAGGGTTGAAAGTTCCTTAAATTATTTACTCTTAAAAAAACATTGACCATTAAACTTTACCCTAATTCGCATAACGATCCATATAAATGGGCGACCATGTAATAACCCGTGCTAGTGATGTTCGCATCACTCTCTCAGGCATAAAAAGAAAGTGCCCGTATTTATTAACATTCTGGTACCCATTCCGGCAGGGATATTTTAATAATATAATTTTTTGTTAAGTCTTATAATCTCTATGAAATGATCCCGATTAAATGTTGCCATAAACAAGTTTGTGGCAGTTGATTGTGTAACGTTGAGCAAAAAAATCACTGACATCATGAATGCATAATGAAGATTTAATTTTCTGGCGAAGATGATATAGCACTTGGTACATGGACGAAGCATATTTTTGGAAATTGAACAACTAGAGAAGGTATTTGCTAGATTGATTTACATATTTTGGTGGCATGAATTATCTTTTCTATAAATGAACTTAGAAAGGTTTGTGGTTAATTTTAAATATGAAATATAAGGATTATAATACCAGTGCAGCGCAGCAGTGCAGTTGTCCTTTGAAATAAACAGTTGGCATTAATTTACTAAATATTTACAATGTATGGAATTATTAGCATTTATGAAATACATAATCACATGTCCCCAAAATATTGGAATTAGATATGTTTAAATATAATTGTAAAAATCAAGATCATATCGATAAATATTCGCTTGTTAATTTTTTTAAATAACAAGGTTGAGATTTATTTAAAATAATCATAATATTCATTGCTTGATACATATCAAAATTATTAAAATTATTGAGGTTGTTACTTCTTAAGCTGGGTTAGGTTAAGTTATCCTGTTAACGAATCTCGCGGTATTGGAGGGTCCACATAAAACTACATGGCTGTATGTGATTTGATGCAACCAGCGTGTTGGACGACGAAATAATCGGGATACCTAAAACCAAAACATCAAACTTAATCTATCACCTGGTTCAAAATTCGGTTTGCATTTTTTAACTTTTAACAAATAATTTGAATGGTAATTGCATGTTTTTTCCGTACATCGCGCGGTATAATACCTCTAATTTGAATGAATTTCTGCTTAGTGGAAAATAATTAGTATAAACGAATGATAAATTACCCTCATCTCCCAGGAAGTTGAAAAATGGTGTCACAACGAAGAATGGGACGCCGTCACTGCGACCACGACCACTGGCGAGTCTGGGATCCTGTTCTGGTCCCACAGCGATGGAACAATCGCCGTTTTTCAGTATGGTATTTGGGAAATGTTTACGGAAGCTCGTTGTAAGCGATGCGTCCATTCCATCAATTGAAATGAACCAATATCACCACACTTTTGAGTCAAACTAGGAAACAAAAATTAGAAGCGAACACATTATACAGGGTGTCCCAAAAAGAGGTTATCGTTCATCATGGCTTCCCAACGGATTTCTTATAGGGAATGTGGTAACCTCTTTTTCTGACACCCTGTATATATTTATCTTGTCCCCTGGGACCAAGTAAGGAATTTAGAACAATCCAGAAACAATAAAAATAGTGCAAGGTGAATTTCACTTACAACACAATACAGGATGTCGACATTTCTTGTCTTTTACTCCTCCGGATAAAAAGAGATGGCGGATAAATTTAATTACAATTTGACTAAAATTGTTCCAGGAGTGTAATATGGAGATAAGCAAATAAATATGCGTGCAAGACAACTCCAGTCCTCTTACCTACTGACACGTTATTGTGCTGGAGACTTCAACAACTTTCTAAAATCTAAGTATATAACAAATCCACTGAAAGCATGCATGCACTTTATGAGTGAATTAAACAAGTGGAAGCATTATTAACAACCTTTCGAATTATTAACGACTTTTTGAATGATTAACTAAATTTCAACTAAATCAAAGTTGACGGATTATTAACAAAATTTCTCTTTGTTTACGAAATTTCGAATCAAAGAATGATTAACGGATTCGATTTAACAACGTTTATTAAGTAGCGCAAGCTACTTTATGCGATCGGTTAGTTAGTCTGTCCCTCCGTCTGTCTGTCTGTCTGTGTCTGTCCGTCTGTCAACACTATAACTCGAGAACGCATCAAGATAATCGAAATCGGTTTGCGGCATCATACATATGACCCCAGGGGGAGGATCCCGGAAACTTTTGGACCACACCCCCTCGGCGCCAGGGGGTGTGGTCGCGGTGTGATCGGGGCAAAATGAGATTTATAGCGCAAATTAATCTATGGATGAAATCCAATCAAATTAAGTGTATCTAAGTGGTGCCACACCCCCTCGGCGTCAGGGGGTGCGGTCGCAGTGTGATCGGGGCAAAATGAGATTTATAGCGCAAATTAATCTATGGATGAAATCCAGTTAAATTAAATTGTTTTGGCTTAATTTCGACATTTTTTGGGCGATATGCATGAAATTTACGCAAAACATGTTTTTCTGTGTTGTTGGCATGTCGCAGTATAGAGCATGTGGTCAATTAATTAATTAATCAATCATTAATCAATTAGTTAATCAATCAGTCAATCAATTAATTAATCAATCATTAATCAATTAATTAATCAATCAGTCATTAATTTAATTAATCAATCAATCAGTAATTAATTAATTTAATTAATTTGAGCTTTATAGCGCAAATTAATTCTCAGCATTCTCAGCATTCTCAGCATTATTGCGCTACTTATGTATCGTGCTTTGCCGCACTTTATTTATTAGGTACACAGAAAGGTAGCGAACTATGCTTATACCTAACGTGAATATAACGTACCGGATTTAATAATACGTTAATAGCAATACCTAAATTCCATGTTTCGATGGTGGAAGAATTAATATGGAAAATGAAATTATTTTTAAAAATTCAGCAAATTAGAAAGTTGGGATCTGTAATCGAGGCAGTGGCCAAATTCTAGCGCAAAATAATTTTTTATATTATTTCCAGTAGTATTTGACCAACTTCTGACGATTTTGAGTTAAAAATCAAATTTTTCAAAATTTGCAAAAATTCGCATATTTTGACTTGTAGCGCAAAAACGGGTTCGGCGCCCCCCCCCCCAATATTATTACGGATTCTTCGTGTACACAAAATTACGCAAATTTTAAGCCATCATACACGAAAATCGTAGGAAGTCGAAAAAAACATCATCTGATGGTATACATAGATACTAATAACTAGCAAAAGTTTACCTCTCTCTTTGTACTGCTCCCATTCCCCTCATTGTTTAACCCATTGGAGTTATATTTGTGTAGAAGGGAATGGGAATGAGGTGCATTTTTTTATCGGCTTTTCCATCCTTGGTTTGGTAGAAGTAGGAAGAATGTTGCATGGTTTTTGTACATACAAAATAAAAGGATATATATTTATGTGGTTTAACTCAGCGTAAAATATTGAACATAGATTACACGTATATGTGGAGGGGTGATGGAAAATTCTCATTTAGTTTATGACACGAATTGTCTAGACGTTGTTATGTATGGCAATAAAATTAACTACATCGACTTAATTTGTACCCTAAATTAAGAGCAGTGTGAGTGTAATGCATGTGTTATTTCCTGCCATCCATCTCTGATATTTCTGCATCAAGTATTCATTTCGAATGTAGCCAATCTCAAAGGCTTTGCTACAAAATTGAGAGGTGAAGGGTCTAAGTGTCGTGAGAAGATTTGGGTTACGATTTTGTACAATTTATTGTATATCAAGTTTATCTGGCTGGGGTTGAGGGAAAGTTTGTTATTCAAATTGACGATGTTTTGACTCCAACGACACTCTGCAGCATCACCAACCTATTTATATACATATGCATTTACAACTTACCTTTTCTGCTGTAGACTTCACACTCTAATACATAAATGCGTCTCTATTTGACTTACTTGCGGCGAAAGATTGGAACGGAATAAGAAATACAATTGTCACAAATGTTACAGATGTGGAGCTACATAGGTTGGATAGCCTTGTGGGTTTCGAACAATTCTCACCTGAATGATTTGACACACTTTGGACAGTTATACTATTTTATATATGTTGTAGAAATTTTGGACACTGTGAACACCAGTCAGAAAATGTGTACTCTTAGACTGAGAAATATAATATAAGCGATTATTACATTGTTGGGTGATATTTAAGAGGGAATAATTTAGAGGAGCTTTATGCATCCCGAAATACAAATATAATAAATGAAATGATATGCAATACAAAAGCAAAAGTTCCTAGTATTCTTTGTGGCATTTACAGAATAAGCTGTAAAACTTGTCCTTCAAAATACATTGGAGAAACTGAACAGGATTATAGAACAAGAATAAAAGAACATGAACAAGCCATTTCAAATAATAATACCAAAATTTCCCCAGTAGCTTCCCACATGCATGAAAATAACCATGAACTAGACCCAACATCGTTCAAATTACTGTTAAGAGAACCAAGAAAATATTTCAGAAAATTCAAGGAATCCATACACATTAGGAGTTTACACAACAGGATGAACATATCAAAAGGGCAGCCAGTCAGCAGTATTTGGTCCTCAACACTAATTAATTTTTTAAAATATGAAAGATAGTAACTATGCCTTTAAAAAATGTAGGTAAATTGATAACATTGACTTGTACAACATCTGACAATTATTTTTCTAAACTTTTGCCTGAGGAAGTTCACTGCATGTGGATGAAAGCTAGCGAATAAATCATATTTCAAACAAAATGTCCTTTGATGCCGATATAAATTCACCAAATCTAATAAATGAAAAAACTGTATGATATTTCGATCCAAACTGTCAAATATACCACATTGAATGCATATTAGTCCAGCCAGAAAACTCCATAATTTTTAAACAGTCACATTAATTTGTTATACAATGAAATAAATATCTATGAAGCTGATCTTGCAAATGAGAGCGTACTACATAAAGATGAACCGTCGTCCAGCTGCTTTGTAAGTAGAAATAATATGGCCAAAATATGGGTGGGGATATGAGGATGATGATGTTTATCGTAGTGGTGTTGTTTGTAAGGTGGGGGTCGATATGGTATGTGCAAGTTGGAGTATACATAGTGTGGTGATATCTGCATCGGGGATGTTAAAGTGAATTAATTCAATCAACTTTGGCTAACTCTTTTTATTTGTGGGCAAGATGAAGTTATGTCGTGTATCCCAACATTAGGAACTCTGCACGAATTGGGTTGTATAATAAAGCAAAATAAATCCAATGTCAATTTGTTCCAGTCTATCTTATCTTGTTGAAGTGACAGACAAGTTCTACGTACAACGCGAAGGCATGAGGTGTAACACTCAGATCTTGATGGGACAAACACAAAAATGTTTATCAAGTAATTGTAGTAGCCCAATGTTATAATCCTTTCCATGAATGCTCACTCGAACCATGGCCGGTTAAGTGACGAAAAATGACGAGGTTTTCACTGTGGAGGTACTGAACTCTTGCTCCTCTTGTCTCACCGCTTTTCTTTTCTCTCCTTCTCTGCTTCTCACGTACACACTTTTAATTTTAAATTAGCAACTTTTTCATGATATTGTTGGGATACTAACCCTACAGTTTTTGATTTAGTAAACTTCGGTTATTTTTGTTTATTGTCAATTTATAAAAAAATAATTTGTCGATTTGTCGGTTAAAAAATTTCTGTAAATTTATATATTTCTTTAATGGCCTCCTTTAACTTACTTTCTGTGTGCCAAGCAGTAGTGACTGTCCAAAACCAAAAGGAAGTTGAAATTGCAAAAATATTATTTGATAAATTAAGTGAAGTTAATGTCTGTCCAACCGCAATTTTACATCGTTCCCACTCGTTTAAGACTTAGTATTTACAGTCAAACAAATATTTACCTCGATTAACCCTTTACTTACCAACTTATCAACTTATCAATACCACTCACCCACACCATTGCTGCTAACAAAATACTCCTCCAAACTACTCCTACATACAAACTACTACTGTATTACTGTAAAAGTGGATTTATATGCTGGATGAGATATAGGTTTAATTTTTGAGGGTGAACACATTTCTTGAAAACAATGCCCACTTCGGCTATAGGATCCATTAAATTTGAAACCAGAGTTATACCTTTACGTATTTGTGTAGCTCGACATGTGTACCGTGTCTAACCCATCCCACATCCCGTCGGAAATCTCTGCCACAGGATAAAGTATTTATTTATGCAAGCATTACTAATTATTTGCTGTACATACAGATTCTGAAAAGTTGTTGAAAATATTCATAAATCACTGCCATATATTGCATTCAATACATCCATCATGAAATCAATGCACGACCCCCAGGTAATTGCGGCTCCGACCAGATCCACTACTACATACATGATATAATTCGGACAGTTGTCATATGTATGGCACTGCAGTTGTTAAAACAATAACACTTTTAATTTGGAACGGAATTCTAAACTATCAACTACACAAAAAATAATTTATAGATACTCGTACGACCAATTAAAACTAAATTTTTCTTGCAATCATAACCGTGATTATTTGTTAAATTTGATATTTTTCAGCTAACATTGTTTATACCATGAAGATAATCAAAGCCACAAAAGAGGTTTTGCACAAGAAAAAGTATACGCAGCTTGACGCATGCTCAATGATTTGAAATTAATTAAATTAATATGTGCTCACAGGTGCTACCAAATTCTTAATGGAGAGTTACGAGCCGACCTCCCATCATTTTCATCCCCACTACCAAAACATTCCAAACTTTTGTCATTCATCAAAAATTTTGCCAAACTTGGTTCAGGCTCATTTGGGAAAGTGTTTCTGGCAAGGAAGGAGCTTTACAAAGAAGCAGATGTTTTTGACGTCATGACCATTCACCAAAGTGGGTTATCCCTGCAGGAGGAATTTGTCATAAAGATCATAAATTTCTCGGAATATAGCTCCGTAATCACGGAAGTCGAATCCCTATCAACCCTAATTCATCCTAATATCGTGAGCTGTTACAATGTTTGGCAAGAATCACCCTCCGAGTGTGGGACCGACGAGTGGAACATGATCAAGGAAATCATTGCCACGCAGTTTTGGGACGAGATGTCGTCACTATCTGATGACGGAAGCGGGACTTCGGGTGGACTACAAGCACAAAATAATGAACACTATCTATGTCTCCAGTTTGAATATTGTGATGGTGGAACACTTGAGAATCTTCTAGACCAATGGATTGCTTCCAGCAGAGAAGATGAAGGATACCTCGTTATGCAAGTCCTCGAAGGGTTGTTGTACCTCCAAGTTATTGGTGTGGTGCACGGTGATCTAAATCCAAGTAATATTTTTGTTCAAAGGACTCCACAAGGGGGGAGATATTTGGCAAAAATCGGGGATTTTGGTCTTTCCATCCTGAACAAGAATAACAATGCAGGATCATCAGTGCCTTCATTTAATAACAATGGACGTTATCACGCTCCAGAAGTTGGGGATTCAAGGCTAAACAGATCGCACAAAAGTGACATGTTTGCATTTGGATTAATACTGATGCAGATTGTATCGGCCGACTTGTTCCAGGACGGTAAGGATAGGCGAAGCAAAGTCCAGCAGGCATCGGTGGAGGGCATGTTTCCAGAATTTGTGAAGAATATGATGGAGTACAAGTGGATTCAGAAACTTGTGAGCAAACATCCCGAGGACCGCCCAAGTGCTGGGGAATTGAAGGAAATCATGATACAAACCGAGCGTTATGGAAAATCTCAAAGTTTCCATGGTAATCCTCCTCCTTACAACGAGACTAAAGCTCTTATCTCTTCTGGAATTGGAATATCCTTGATAAATGATAAGAAAGATTACAAACAAGGTTACAGGTATGCGCTGGATGGATATTGGGTTCAAATAGAATAAGAATTAAACAAATAACATTTTTTATTTCAGGTACTTATGCTCCTTCTTTTACGACTATTTGTCGCACGTGTATTCTGCCAACACCGTGGCAGGTAGCACTCCCCAGTATTATTCTGACATTGAATGGAACCTTCAAACGGTGGCGGCAATTGATAAAATAAGTCTGCAATTGGACCGATTACCTGACCAATGTTACAGACTCCTACAATTAATTCCAATAGTTTCCCGGACATTTGGATCAGAGCATTTGCTAACATTGGATTTTAAGCAGGCCCTCTTATCTCTGTATTATACAAATCAGAGGCAAAGTTCCCCCCATAGCTTTCCTTCCACTCAAAAAATAGAATTTTGGATCCAACTGGAAGCCTCTATTAACAATTCCCCAACGTTCCAAGCCCTTCCGGCAACAGATAGGCTAAAGTCTGCCATGTTTCTCTTATTTGTCAGCAAAGTGATAAATTCTCTTGAAAAGGGTGACCCAAAATTCAACGAGGGGATGCAACGTGCCCTCGCTATTAGCTATGGATTGTGTCAAGATTTTCAAAAAATATTAGGAGACCTGGAAGAGGCTGATACTTCGAGTGAAGATGGACAAATTGATGACCAACAACATCAAGATTTTGGTCTGTCCACAGGTGACAATGCCGACGACGAGATGGAGCAAGAAGGAGCCACCGATCAGGAAATGGAGCATATTTCGAGAAGAGGGCAACAAATCAGCCGATTCCCATCCGACGCAACAATCATTTTCCAAATAATCAATTGCAGATTTAACGTGGCTCTGATTCACCTACGCCTTGATGAAGTCGATAAAGCTCGAGTAAGCTATAAACTGCTGCTCGAATTCTTTACCGACATTTATGAAAACAAGTTGGAAACGTTTGAACTAACTCCAATTATATTTTCCGAGTATGCAACATTCGTGATGAGAGATGTATCTGCGAGCAAACTGTACTCAGCTTTAATTTATGCAATGGCTGCGTGTCAGATATTTGAAGAATTGAATAATCAAGTTGCTGAAAACTACGATTTTTCAAGTTGTGTTGCAATGTTGTTGCAATCGCTTGGAATGAAGGAGGATTTGAAGAGATTTATCCTCCATGTGGTGGCAAATTCTGAACGAGAGAATAGGCTGTTTATGACAGCGGCGACGGATTCAAGGAGGGGTAACTTGAACTCCAATTTGATAAGCGATCAAGAGATATTGGTCAACTTTCAAAAACAAATGGAAACGGATTATGGGTATTCCGGAAGAGCTTTAGAGGATACGTATAAGAGAGTGGTGGAAGGTTCGGAAGTTGTTATTTCGACGGTTAAAGACTTGTTGGAGTCTCCTCCGAAAGAAGTGATGGAGGAAGGGAAGTGGATGCAAGAAGTGTTGGACTGGGCTAGGAAATTATATGGAAAATTTTGAAGATGAAGTTTCTGAATAATGTTGGAGTATTGGCAATTTTAACCCGTATCCATAAGTCTGACACACGTAAAGTGGATTAATGGAGTTCATCAATAAATGTCACGGCAGAATCAGCATAATTTATAGTTTTCAATCTTAATAATTTGTATGTTTGTAAGTGCCAGTTTAACATAATATCTTTGTAAAAGTGAGTTTTAAGTATAAGTTTCAATGGAAGAATTCAACGGAATTGCAGTAATAGATTATATAGTAGATTCATTGGTTTGCCAGTTTTTGATAATTATGTTCCAATGAGTATTAGAAATGAGTATTTACTTCATAATAATAGTTATATTGATAATTTGTTAATGAATTTATATTTCAACGGCATATTATAAAGGTTTAGTTAGGTTTGGCTTAACAGTGTGTGATTCAACGGAATCAACGGAATGTTAGATTAAGTTATAACTGTGTAATTAATGGCGTAATTGATATAGCTCTAGAAGTATTTAATTGAGATAGCTCTCGAAGTAATTAGAGGCGTAAATGCTATTAGTTTTTCTATAAGTTGTAGTTTAAGGAAAATATTTATGATGCCGTTGAAAAGGCGTGCTACGACGTCCGACCTCGATCCGCTTCGACGACGTCCGACCACCACTAGTATATAATTCGATGCACTGTTCGCATCATCATCATTTGATCGTCAAACGTGGTACAACACACACCTCTCTTAGAATTAGGTCAAGTAGGAATAAAGTCTTGTAAAGCGTATATTGGTGTACCTTTAAATAAAATCTCTACATTATTAGTAAAATAAGCCCGTTTTGCGTTCAACGGAATTCATTTTCACAAGGAGCTTGAATCGTCGAGGTGACATTAAAGGGAGTTTACTAGTAGCCATAAGGACCGGATAATCCACAGTTAGGAGATTCCGTTGAAGAGATAGACATTCCGTTGAAAGATTAGAGAGAGTGTGGACATTTGATCCGTAGCCTTACAACGTACGTAGACCACGCTGAGCTATTTACGAGTTAGCCCTTTCAGTGGCGAGAATTGGTTGAGTGACTAAAAGTGCCGCCACAATAAAATATACAAGATTTACAGAAATTTAACAGAGAAGAAAAGCGGTGCAAGAGTTCACTGCCTCCCCATTGAAAATCATGCGCATGCTCCACACCAACTACAGTTAATATTACGGTGAATGTGGGTGGATATGCTGGGTGAAGGAATATATGGTTTTACTTTTTGAAGGTGCACACATTTCTTTCTTGCAAACAATGCCAACTTCAGCTATAGGATCCATTAAATATAAATGAAATTGTGTCTGAAGTTATGCTTTTACGTATTTAATTAGACACAGCAAAATTTTGGGGCAGCATTAATTTTTTGATGCAGTGAAGCAAATATGAACCAGATCTTGCAAATGAGTGTGTAATACGTATGGATGAAACGATATGAGGCAGTTTCAATTTGCATGTTTCAAGTAAGATGGGCCGATCACTATGAGCAGCGCACTTTAGTAAGGAATGATGAAATTATGAATGCTGTTCATTGAAGTAAACAGATAAAGAAGTACAACATCACTTTGAAGGTTGGTGGTACGATGGTGGTATTTCCAGTATTATGTGGATATAAACTGTAAAGTAATTGCCATTTATCCATTAAGGGTTGTTGCGCAACAAAATGCCTCGTGCAGGCATACGAGCATTACATAAACGTCAAACTAACAACCAGAGTTAATACAATTACAGAGTTCTCTTACCAAAACAATTAGTAATCGAGATTGAACACCTGATACAACAACAACACGTTGCGTAACATGGGTCACATCTTGTTTTTAACGCGATAAAATTTCAATTAATTTTATCAGTTATCCGCTACTTTAGTGATGACCCTACCTCCATCATTAACTTCCCTGTGCTCATTATTAGCCAGTACGTTCAGTTGAGCAGTGAAGAGCAAAAATGTCCCCTAACTGTTTGCGTCTCGTTTCCATTCTTACTTTGATCCACATCATTGACTTGCCAACTACTTCCGCAAATACCAATACCGAATATCTCCTCGCCCAACTATCTCCCACCAAACTACCCACCAGACGTCGCGGTCCGGCAGTCTCATTTGATGGAAACGATTCAATTTACTCGTTTGGAGGCTACTTCTACGACTACCCTTGCGGCGGATGTTACAATTATTATGACCAAATTTACAAATACAACATCAGACGCCATAGCTTTAGCGGCTAGACTGCCCGTTGGGATTTATGCTGGCAGTACGATATCCGATTCTGTTGGGAACATTTATTATTTTGGTGGTAGTACGAGATCTACTCGGAATAGGGTTGTCTATAAATTTAACCCGAACACTACCCAAGTCACACAAGTTGGTGAATTACCGTTAGAACTGAGCAATGCCATCAAGGTGGATGATAGCAGAGTGTTTTTATTTGGACATACATTTCTTGATCATTCTTCAATTGTTGGGTTTGATTTGGTTAGTTATGAATCAACAATTGTTGGAGATTTGGGGTATAATTGTACCAAAGCGCCAGGAATTAGGTAAATATGATAATTTTAATAGTTAGTTTCCATTAAATTTAAATGTTTCTTTATACCCCAATAGGTACAAGGATGACCTGTGGATATTATGCAGCTCGACTTTAAACCCAACATCCACAACAATGTTGCGATACAATTTAATAAATGGGGTAACTACAGCTGTAAAATCGTTTCCATATCTGGCAGAAACACCAAGTCTAGTTTGGGATGAAGAGTCCACCCCATACATCACAGAGGGTCACCAATACCCAGGCGACTTTGTGATCAAGTACGACTTGGAGAAGCCGTCAGATATTCATTTTATCCAAGTTAAAATGTATCCTGGTAAGAATTTTGGGACAAAAAATGTCTAAGTTAGTGTCTAAGTCACACATTGTTTCGTATGGTTAAAACCACAATAGACGGGCCGGCGTTTAAAGGTGGTTTTAACCACCTTCTGGACACCAATATTTAACGGTCAAAATGGCCAAAAGTGGCCAATAGGTTATATCGATATACAATTAACCACTTTTGACCATTTTGACCACTTTTGGACACCGACCATTGGTTTTAACCGGCCAAAAAGAAGCACTGAATTTAACAATTACTTTGTCTCAGGCAACGCGACCTACTATTACACCGGGATGGGTGGAGTTTACGTAAAGAAGCTGAATCGTATCTACCTCTTTGGGGGATTAGTGAGTATCCCCTTATTCAGCGGATGGAAGAATGACATTCACACACATTGATCTACCACGGAAGGAAGTTCCATTTCAAGTTAACTGTTCCGGAGAAGGTGAAGATGGCAGAGTGTACCCACATCCCACTAATTGCTCACAATACGTGATTTGCTTATCCCAAGAACTTTTTGAACAAAGTTGTTTAAATGGGGAAATGTTTGACCCGGTTGATTTGGTTTGTAAGGATCAAGAACTTGTAGATTGTGAGATGAATTGTGTGGGAAAGATGAGAGGATTTTACCCAAAAGTGGGAAATTGTTCACAATTCGTAACTTGTGAAGCGGGCAAAACAACACTGAATGACTGTCCAAATAATCTTTTGTTTGATAAGCACTGGTTACGATGCAATTTTAGGGATTTGGTAAAGTGATAAATATTCATGTTATGATGGCCTGTAAATTTGTTGGTATAAAATAAAGGTCAATTTGTGAGTGAAAATTAATAACACAATTATTTTATTTTACAAAATTGACAGTTAGCTTTTCTACGTTTTGATAATTTCCGCAAAGCTCCGTATCTCTTGCAAGTGAGCAAAATTTTTAAGATGCAAATAAACAATGTAAAAACTACCTCCCCCCCGCGCTACGATTTACAAATTTTTTCTTCAAATTTAGACCACTCTTGAGAGATACAGAGCTATACCCAAACTCTAAAAACATAGAAATGTCTAGTGTGCATTTCCTGGTCCTTCATTAGTTTCAAATTACTTTACCCTTTACGTTTTTTGTGGGAGTGCTTTAGTCCCTTTATAATGGAAGATGGGAGGAAAATTCAAGCAAAATTGGTCACTTGGATATTCCAAAGAGATAAGTATGTGGGTGTGCTTTCCCGACGAGCCAAAGTGTGAATAATTCACTAAATTTGTACCACAAAATTTATGCATATCTTGCATCAATATCACTACTTTACTTGCGATAATATTGCAGAAATCATATTTGCAAAACTTGTACCATAAAATTATCAATGCAATTTTACTTGCACAAGATTTGTACAAAATTATTACAAGAATGTACAAATCGTCTACAAATATTGTGATAATTTATATGCACTTACATATATAGTGCTTATTTTCTGTAAATTTCGTGCGAAAAGTTTGTATTGGCCATTCTTATGAAATTAATGCAAAAAATTTACACAATTACTCGAATTATACATAACTAGCCTATAAGCCCGTCTTGAAGACGGGCAGTTTGAATTGGAGCCTTATGTATCAAAATTATTAACTTATGGTACAGTAAAACACACGGACTGTGAACTGTGGTGGTCTCCATGACAATTATGATAATGGAATAAATAAGAGCACAAATAATAAAATAATATGGCTATAACATTATTAGGTTTGTTTGTTAAATTTTTTCACGGTTGTCAAGGTATTTCTGGAAGGAATGTAAGTAATTTTTTAAGGTTGCTAAGGAATTCTTAAAATCTTGCTAAGGAATTTTTTAAATGTTGCTAAGGAATTTTTGTAAATGTTGCTAAGGAATTTTTTTCACGTTGCTAAGGATTTTTTTCACGTTGCTACGGATTTTTTTAACGTTGCTAAGAAATTTTTTTCACGTTCCTAGGAATTTTTTTAAATGTTGCTAAGGATTTTTTTAATGTTGCTAAGGAATTTTTGTAAATGTTGCTAAGGAATTTTTTTCACGTTGGTAAGAATTTTTATTTCGCGTTGCTAAGGGATTTTTTCACGTTGCTAATGAATTTTTTTCACCTTGCTACGGATTTTTTTTAACGTTGCTCAGGAATTTTTTCACGTTGCTAAGGGATTTTTTAAATGTTGCTACGGAACTTTTTAAATGTTGCCAATGAATTTTTTTCACGTTGCTACGGATTTTTTTTAACGTTGCTAAGGAATTTTTTTCACGTTGATACGGATTTTTTTTAACGTTGCTAAGGAATTTTTTCACGTTGCTAAAAGATATTTTAAATGTTGCTACGGAACTTTTTAAATGTTGCTACGGATTTTTTTTACGTTGCTAAGGAATTTTTTTCACGTTGCTAGGGAATTTTTTAAATGTTGCTAAGGAATTTTTTCACGTTGCTAAGGAATTTTTTCACGTTGCTAAGGAATTTTTTTCACGTTGCTACGGATTTTTTTTAACGTTGCAACGTTGTATCATAATCATAATCACAACCATAACCATAATCATTCTCATAACCATAACCATAACCATAATCATAATCATAACCATAATCATAATCATAATCATAACCATAACCATAATCATAATCCTAACCATAACCATAACCATAATCCTAACCATAACCATAATCATAATCATAATCATAACCATAATCATAACCATAGTCATAATCATAATCATAATCATAACCATAACCATAACCATAATCATAATCATAACCATAATCATAACCATAGTCATAATCATAATCATAACCATAATCATAACCATAATCATAATCATAACCATAACCATAATCATAACCATAACCATAATCATAATCATAATCATAACCATGATCATTCTCATAATCATAGCCATAATCATAATCATAATCATAATCATAACCATAACCATAATCATAATCATAACCATAACCATAATCATAATCATAATCATAATCATAATCATAACCATAACCATAACCATAACCATAATCATAATCATAACCATAATTATTATCATAATCATAATCATAATCATAACCATAATCATAATCATAACCATAACCATAATCATAACCATAACCATAACCATAACCATAATCATAACCATAACCATAATCATAATCATAATCATAATCATAATCATAACCATAACCATAACCATAATCATAATCATAACCATAACCATAATCATAGCCATAATCATAATCATAATCACAACCATAATCATAATCATAATCATAACCATAACCATAATCATAACCATAATCATAATCACAATGATAATCATAACCATAACCATAATCATAACCATAATCATAATCATAATCACAACCATAACCATAATCATTCTCATAACCATAACCATAACCATAATCATAATCATAACCATAATCATAATCATAATCATAACCATAACCATAATCATAATCATAACCATAACCATAACCATAACCATAATCCTAACCATAACCATAACCATAATCATAATCATAATCATAACCATAATCATAACCATAGTCATAATCATAATCATAATCATAACCATAATCATAATCATAATCATAATCATAACCATAACCATAACCATAATCCGAACCATAACCATAACCATAATCCTAACCATAACCATAACCATAATCATAATCATAATCATAACCATAACCATAACCATAACCATAATCATAATCATAACCATAATTATTATCATAATCATAATCATAATCATAACCATAATCATAATCATAACCATAACCATAATCATAACCATAATCATAATCATAATCACAACCATAACCATAATCATTCTCATAATCATAACCATAAACATAATCATAATCATAACCATAATCATAATCATAACCATAACCATAATCATAACCATAACCATAACCATAACCATAATCCTAACCATAACCATAATCATAATCATAATCATAATCATAACCATAACCATAACCATAATCATAATCATAACCATAATCATAACCATAACCATAACCATAATCATAATCGAAAATCGACTCGTGCTCTGATTGGCGGATACAGAAACCCAGCAGCGAATCAGAACGCAGGAATGTCACGGAAAATTTCACGGGACGGACTTTTCGAAATTATAATATAGATTTATCCAGTTTCCTGGATTTATTACAATCTCATTCATGATAAAAAAAATCGTGCTTAAATTCATGTTTTCTATAAATCAAAAGTATTTCGAAACTTGAACCTTCTGGAACATCCAAAGCTAAGCCTTGACCCAGCATGACCAACAATAAAACGACTTGAAGTACAGCAGCAGCCATGGTTATTTCACTAGCAGTGAATATTTGCAACTAAATCTGCATTGCGTTCAGTTTGTTTAAATATGACAAAAATTGTGGGTCACATGAATCATCATCAGATTTCATAAAACGTTGACGGTTCTTGTTTGTCTTCGCGTCGTGTCTCTCCCGGGAGTCCAGTCTTAATTGTACTGTGGGTTATTTTGACACTTGAATAAACTGGATAACTAACTAACTAACCACAAACGTTTTCTTAGACGCTGCTCGGATGACCACGAACAATTTTTTTAAATATCACAAATTTGATTTATTTTGAAAGAGAATAACCTAGTTACATCTGTTGTACGCCCTTAGTGTTTTATGTTTGATGAAATTTGAAAGACACTTTTAGAATTTCCATCAAATTTTTTTTGATGGGTTTGGCAAACTTTCAGACGAAAAGTGATTTAAATTAACTCTGCTGTCGGGCTTAAAATCTTCGCTTTTTTGGAAATGATGCGTTCATTCCATACCAAAAAAGAGCGAGGAACACGATGAGGGCGCTTCATATATTCCGCGACACATATTTCGCCCACAAAATTAAGCTTAGAGACACGGAATATAGTCTCGCCTAACGCTCAGTATAAACTAATCCCAAGCCAAGGACATATTAAGACATGTTATGCATAGTCTTATTTATGTGACTTAAGCAAATATGCATAATTTATTTTTCGACTTCCCACCTGATTGTGTTAAAAATTTAAGTAATTGTTTGCTATTTTTTAACGAATATATTGACGTTATGAAAAGGCCCGGCAACCAAACGCGTTCCAGGCCCGAGAATTTGACGGTACGGCTCTGCCCATGATGCCAATCCCATTTTGCGGTTGTTGGAATTCACCCAGAAAATTAAAACCTGATAAAAAAATCGTGTTTAAATTCATGTTTTCTCTAAATCAAAAGTATTTCGAAACTTGAACCTTCTGGGACATCTAAAGCTAAGCCTTGACCCAGCATGACGGAAAATAAAACGACTTGAAGTACAGCAGCAGCCATGATTATTTCACTAGCAGTGAATCTAAATCTGCATTGCGTTCAATTTGTTTAAATATGACAAAAATTGTCGGTCACGTGAATCATTTTACTATCAGGTTTCATAAAACATATCAAAGTCCAGTTAAATAGAAGCTTCACCATATGCGCCGGCACATTAGTCCAATCAAAATTAGATAAAGGCTCATGACGCATGACGTGTTTTATTCTCTTGTTTTGTTAAAAACGTTAAGTGGAGACCTCGACTTGAATTTGGATTAACACGGACGAAGGCATATTATTAATTTATGATGTTAAGCATTCGGCTGGAGTACAGATCAATTAAAATTCGCCGAATATGTCGGTTAGTAATAAGCCTCATAAAAATTGCCAGAATTTTATTCGAAGGATTATGGCCTGGTTATTTTGTTGGCGGTATATTTTATTTGACACAAAATTTGCACAAGTCTATGAATCTCAGATCCTTCTCAATTTCTACTTGTTCTAACTCTGTGCCAATTTCGTTGCTAATTTTAACACCCAAGTTGCTTGGCGGAAGTTGCAATTCAAGACTCGGTAGGTTGACCATTTCTGAAATTAATTCTTGCTATACGATTATCGTATTATACGAATTTTGAAGGGATAAA